GTTAATCGTTAATAAATTATAATTAATTAATAATATTTTTTTGAGAATAGAATTAGAAATAAAATCAAAATGATTCCTCATATTTTTTTAGTTATCATATTTATCTTATATAGGAGCACATTAAATCAAATATATATGAAAGAAATACATGATTTTAAATTATAAAATATAAATATACACGTAAGATTTTAAACTATAAAAAATGAATATACCTCGTAATATACATTTTTCTACAAAATAAAATACATTTACAAATAAATAAGATTTTTATAAATATGTATGTTTGAAAAATATTGTGATAGGTTAACTATAAATTACCCTATAATCAAACAGTTAACCATTTCTTAATGGTTAAGTTATAGTTAACATAATTTAATAACCGTAATAACGGTTAACTAACCATTTAGATTTAACGGTACAGTTAACCAACCAATTACACCATAACTAGGCCATCAAAGAATACATTTTATTAAAATGTTATTTTAGTTTTATTTACATGTAATAGACTTTCCTGAAAGCTACTACTTGTTTTCCTATATATTAAAATGTTATTGTTTTTTTTATTTGTTGAATAATATTTGGAGTTGAAAATTTATTAATTAATTTTGTACTGAATGTAGACCTGGTCGTTTTGAAGTCTGTCTTATATCAAACAAAGATTGGAGATTTTGCAGATAAAGGTACCATTCAAGGTACTAAATCCTTATTTATCTTCAAATGTTAATCTTGATGACTAGGTATTTAGTTATTTTATTTTTATTAAACCGTAAAAGAATTAAGTTACTAATTTGTATCATAGATCTCTTTTAACCGAGTTTGATTGTCATTCATTTCAAATTTTGGTTTTCTATTAACAAGATTACTTTTCATGCTTTCTTTTGTTTTGTATTTTAATGTAGGTTTTTTGTGTTTTGTCTTACAGTTTGGGAAACCACAGTGGGACATATTTAGAAGCTCTATTGATGAATGTATCATCTCAATCAGTTAAAATGGAAGATTTTCAATTAGATCTGCAGAAAATAAATTTCTGATGTGAATTGTTGTTAATAAGATTATTTACTTGAATAATTAGTTTTTTTAAAAATTTATGTAATTAAAGACTATTCTACTTGTTAAAGCTAGTGAATTTATATTTTAAACTTTGAAGTATTATGTTGTATATTAGTTAAAATAAATGTTGCAATATTTAGAGTTAATTGCATTATCTATAATCAAACTATAACCCTTATTTTAAATTGGTCCTTAAATTTTTTAATGTTACAATTTCAACCAAAACTATGACTCATTTTAAATTAATCCTTAAACTTTTGAACATTCTAATTTCATTCGTAGACTATGATCCTCTTTCTAAATTGGTCCCAAAACTTTTGAATATTCCAATTTCATCCCCAAATTCATCCAAATATGTAGTTAATTTCAACCATAGTTTAACCTAAATTTTGTTTTTTCAAACGTATAATAATATAACTTGGCCTAATGTCATGAAAAGAAACAACCAGTCCGATCTACCAACAATCAGATTATCACCAAAGAAGATGGGACATCTGAAATCGGATTTGATCATGGCCATCTAAAAAACACATCAACACCATCAATTTTCCCTACACAATTGATGATGCTACTTCTTGGAGCCCTACGGAGACCAGTGATAATGAAGATCCAGATTGCTACTATGAGCTGTGTAAACCCAGTTTGAAAGCCCGTGTGATTTTGATTGTTCATGTAAGTTATGTAAAGTAGACGATCTCAATTCGTGGATTGATGGAAATTCTCTCACAACTTATTATCCACACAAGGTAGGAACCAGAAAGAATAAGTCCTCAAATTCTAGTCTCTACAGGAGATGCATGCAAGGAGACCCTTCAGTTGGACCACTTGGAGAAGACAATGGAAAATTTCAATTCCTTATTGACTATTCACTTGAGGCTCATACACCAGTTCAGAATACTCCAAAAATTTCCTCCACCAAAACCAAAATCTCCACCACCACCTCCGATAAATCCAAAAATCTTAGCTTAACCTTGTTACAAGAAGATCCAGAAATGGATAAAAAAATCTTGAACCCCAAACTCAATTGATTCCTATTGTTTGTATGTTTCAGCCATCTTATCCTTCTTATGGCAAGAATTTCCTCACCTTGAGGAATTTACTAAAAATGAGTACAAGCATGCTCCTAAAATCCCTAGTCAGCTTGTTGGAGAAAAGATAAGTGCAGCCAAAGCAACTCTCATTTGGCATACTGAAAATGTTCTTGCTCAAAACACTACCTTGAAAAAGATTGACCATAAGATTTCACAGGGATGTCAAGCTTACTCGGGTAGAATCTAAGGTAGATACCAACACCAAGATTGCCAATGAACTTATTGTATTACTCCACAAAAGGTTGCAACAAGTTGAAAGACATACGACTTCTCCAGGACAAGATTTCTTTTTCCATCTTGAACAAAAGGAAAAGGAAATTCAAAAGCTGAAAGAACAAATACGGGTACATGAAGAAACAGGACAAGTTCCACAACCACAAGGAGAAGAACTTTTCCCATCTCTCAGAAGGAAAACACCAGAACCCCAGTCTATATTTACTTCCTTCAGAATGGATACAACACATTCTCAGGGACTGTTTTTCTCCTCTCTCTAATGAAAAGAAAAAGTCAACAACTTATGTGCTTTACCAGCAGATTAAGAAGCAAGAAGCTGAGAAAAAAAGAGAGAGATAAAGGGGAAAAAACAGGAAGAAGAGGATTCTTCCTCGAAGTTTTCCAGAGCACTTATGAGACAACAATAACAACAAAACCCCTTAAATTCCTTTCTTAAGTATAGGGAAACCATAATTCCAAAAGTTATTGCTGTCAATTAGAAAAAATAAGATTCTGAAGAAATTTTCGAGTCAGAAAGCTCAGAAAACTCATATATCTCTTCAGAAGATGTTATTATGGCTACAACAAATCAACCCGAGGTTAAGATAGAATATTCGAACCTTGACAGCCCCATGAAAGCAAAACCTTATGCAGCAAGACAGTGCTTCAAACTAATGGAGGAAAATACATATTTACACTTGATGACATTCCTGTATCTAAATGGTCTCAAAGATTACAAGAACTCCATTCGTGGATGGAAACTCAAAAGTTAACAAGAGACAACAATTATGATATTCTCATTGAGTTTGTATCCAAATTTACTAGAGTACTCAGAGATTGGTGGATATCATTATTTGTAGGAGATCATATGCAGTTTCTTGTTCAGCAAGATTTTGCTGCAGTAATCCAGGTCATGCATAATTACTTTCTTAGAAATCCAAATGATGTGAAGACTCTCAAAAGAAAAGAGTTTTTTAAACGAAAATGTTATTCCTATGAAAAGAAAGACCTGGAAAGACATTTCAGCATCATAACCAAACTTTTTTAAACTCTGGGAGCAAATCAAAGTTTGAAGCAAGCAATTTTAGCTTCAATCCTAGAACTATTACAAAATGCAATCCATAAAATATTCAACAACAGAGAAGAGACATTTTACATTAAACTGTAGGAGAAATCCAACAAGAAACTTTCATTTCCCTTGAAGAAATTTGTGACAGGAAGATCATCAAAGAATGCATGATTGGAACCAGAGAATTGGATAAAGCTTGCAATGAGCGAGGATTGACTATTAAGTGTAAAACCCCACAGCAGTGTCATTGCAAATCTCGCAGAAGAAAGAAAGAAAACCCTCTCGTACTCCATTCTTCCCAAGAAAAAGAAGAAAAATAAAGATACTTGAGGAAGAAACGAGCCCCAGGAGTTAAATCATCCAAATGATATGTTTGTGGGAAAAAATGACACTTTGCAAAAACAAAAACTATCCCAAAAACAGAAAAGGTTTGAAGATGATCGAGCTGATTCAGGAAAAAACAATGATCAAAATCAAAGAAGAAGAGGATGTTGAATCTCTTTTCTCCATTGAAGATGAACCTACTGATCATTCTCTATTTGCTATCCAAAGCCTGGATATTGAAGACTTTGCATCAGAGACAGAATGGTCTTCTGAAAATTGAGGAGTCTATATAATTCACAGCAAGATCGGTTCGTCATTAACATCTATAATCCCTGTACCACATATCTCAGCAACTGTTTATCTTGGAAAATACAAAAAGCTAATCTCGGTGATTACTTTCATTGATACTAGAGATGCAATAGCAATCATGAATCCGGAAATACTCCCTCCAGAATGGTGGAAGCCCCATACCAAATACTTCAATTATGCAGCAAACCAGACGTTTACAACTCATCTTATCAGTAAGCCTATTACTATTCAATTTTTCCTAGGACGTACTATTACATCTACAATATTAGGATCACAACTTCCTGGAAAAGATCTGATGCTAAATATAATTTTTTGATTATTAGGTTGATGATATGCATTGTTCATTCGACTGTTCTTTGACATTGGTTGAAATTATTGTAACTCAGAAAAATGTAATGAGATTATGTTGACATGTCAGATTCAAAATATATTTTGTGCATTTGAAATATTTGATTATGTTAATTATAGACTTCATGTTATTTATTCGGACTAACATTGTCAAATGTCTAATATTTTCTTTTAACAAGAATCATGTCGGATATTGTTGTTAAAGTTCTCAAATATAATGGGTCTCCTACAAATCATATATATGATGGTACACCAGTCGAAGAGTTTTTAAAATCGAGTAAAAGTAATTTTTACAGTTATGGGCCAATTGGAAGAAAAAATATTGAGATTAGTGGTTTTGTTTATAAAGTGGAAGAGAATAAGTCCCTAACTAGAAGAACAAGCAATTTAGAAGAAAAATAAACAAAATTAATATGAACGATTAAATTTATTGAATTATTTTGAATTAAAACCAAATTAATAGATTTTATAAGTTTTGAGGACTAAAACTATTATTATATAAGGCACGTCACTACTCTCGAGCAGCAATGTATTTGTAATAATATTTTAATTAAGCGACATGTTTGTAACTTTAAGAGAAAAAAGTGAATTACTTGTTATTAAATCCATAATTAAGTGACTTGAAGTGTAGTTTACCCTATAATAATAAAAAAGTGAAAAGCTTTAAAAAAAAAAGAAAGCTACGGAGAGCAAACCCAAACAGGATAAGTTCCAAAATATTAAAACCCCGAATTTTGTTCCATGCTGGACATGTTTTCCCTTATTTAAACCACTTTTAGCATCAGCTTGCCTATTCTGCTAGCAGTATCGATGTCTGTAACACTGCTACTGGTACTTGTTCCATCTTGCTTTGTGGCTTTGTTTGCTAATTCAAGTATCCTAATCAAATCCTTAATTGATATCTGGCATTTTTCCCCGGAAAAAAGATGATAAAATGGGCAGAACGATCGGTCAATTTGTCCTAAAATCGATTTTTGTGGTTATCAAATTATTAACAAAAAGGAAAAGCTTATACTTACTGGTGCAGAGTCGATTGCTAAGTCGGTTACCAGTCTGCTGCACTCTTCAGAAGGAATAGAAAACAATTGACCCATAACCTGCAAAAATTACACCCGCAAAGAAGAAGAAAAATGTTCATTTGGGTTAAGCATTTTCACTGCAAATACACTAACTTAGAGGATATACCTTTACAGCGCCTTCTGATGTCAGTTTTGGAACATTTAATGTTTTCTGAAATTCCTCTTCAAGCTTTACAGACTTTAGAAGGTCCAAATCACTTGTAGTTGCAATAACCATATGTTTGTGATCCTGTAAATTAACGTATCAGAATCTTGTAGTTTGATTTTAATACCTTTATATGGTACAAATGTACCATTTAATAATGAAAATGGAGAGTAATAGAAATTGGATTTCACCTTTGGTATCTTTATTTTCAGGCAAGTTTTCAAGGCATTCGATACACCTTGGGAATTGTTATCCACAAACCTTGGATAAAGAATGAATTATATCAAGATCTGATTATGACTCGTAAAAAAAAGAAACAGTTAAAAAATCTAATACCATGGGTGTACCTTTCTATGTCATCAATTATGATCAAACTTAGAGGACAACCTAGAGCGCGTCTCCAACTCTGTTCAATTCATACATAAGAAAAATGAATGTGAAGACTGGAGGACATGGTAAAAAAATTCCTCAACGCCATGATAGTTAGAAAATCACTATGAAAGTAGTTAGTCTTCACTAACATACCTTCAAAATCCTTTCACGTTGCTGTAATTCTGACAAGTTTATAAAATCATCGGGAGTGATCTACGAATTCATAAAAATAAAATATATAAAAAATTAATTATTTTTGTGGATAAAAATTTACACCAACAATAAGGAAAATACGACTTACAATTTCAACAACATCAAACTCGTTAGTTAATCTAATACTAGTTGCCATGAAGCTTTTACCGCTGTTCGAAGAAAACCAAGTTAGAAAAAGGTAAAAAAATTACATATTAAAAGAAAATTAGAAGTAATTTTGTCACTCACGTGCCACGTGAGCCTTCTAAAAGAATTCTAATAGAGCAGCACATGCTGTGTTGCCATTCTTCAACCAAGCGCTTTAAAGTTTGATAAGAATTCCTATGCTCAGGTAAGTCTATCTTCTTATTTTTCCTAAATTTTCACATGGCAAATTTGTTATACATATACATACAAAAAATCATTATTTTTTATAATAAAAATTATACCTCGTTGGTTTTAATTGATTAGAAGGTTTTGCGTCTGACAGTGCAAATTGAAAATCTTCCATTGTAACTATCAAGTTTTCAGGGTCGCGAAGAAATGCTCGAGTTAGTGCATTCCTCACTAGAGCTTCTAAATCAGCCCCAGAGTATCCAGCGGTTTCCCTCACTGTTTGACAAATCGCACAAACCGTACATTAAAAATACAAAACAAGACAACATGAAAGATATAATCTTATTAATAAAAGACCAAAAATAAATGAAAAACAAACTGCATCTAAGAAAAAAATTAATAACTTAAATCTTTTGCGGTTTAATAGAGATAAAATAATCAAATACCTATTTCCTCAAAATTAATATCGGTGGATGAAGAGGGATGTTGTATCATCGATGACACATGTAGCCGCAAAATCTCTAGTCTTTCTTGAATACTTGGTAAGTGCATCTTAATAAGAAGTTCAAAACGACCAGGTCTACATTCAATAATTAAATTTACTTAATAAATTTTCATCACAAAATATTATCGAACAATAAAAGAAAGCACTAACATTCTAATAATTTTATTTATGCAAAAATAAAAATTGAAGATACATAAGAACATATTTTATACCTTAAAATAGCAGGATCAATTAAATCTATCCTATTTGTTGTACCAATGACAAGAATATTGTCCAAGCTATCCGGGCCATCAATCTGAAAATAATATATCATTATATCAATACAAACTTAAACAAACGAGTAGTGCTTTTAAAACGATTTTTTCATAACATTGTTAATAGTTGATTTACAACTAAATCTCTCGCCTTCGAACCACTACTACGTCTATCTCTATGCTGTAAAAAAAATGTATTTTTTATGTTAGAAAAGATTTTATTAATATATATATCAATTGCAAAATACCAATCAAACTGCTGTCCAAATAAAAGGATTCCTACATTTCAAACGAAAAATAAAATAAAATCAAAAAAATAGAGAGGAATGAGTAAAATATGTTTACCCAAGCAATTGAATCAAGTTCATCAAATAGAATTACATGTATCTTACTCTTTTTTCCTGACAAAAACAAAAAGTATTGATAAATTATTACTTCACAAACAAAAATAATTTTATATAAACATGCACAATTTCAGATCTTGTACCATGCTCTTTAAAGTCTTTTCTAGCATCTTCAAATATTTCTCGAACCGCTCGCTTAGACTCTCCCATGGTTTTTTTGAAAATTTCAGGTCCCTTGATGATCTGCTTATAAATGTAAAAAGTCATACTAAAATACAAAAGGATTATCTGTTTGTAAATATTACCTTTGCTTCTAGATCGCTTAAATGGCAGGAAATTTTATATGCAAGAACCGTCTTCCCAGTTCCAGGGGGTCCGTGAAGAAGTATCCCACGAGGACATTTTACTTCAATTCTGGATAAAGCTAATAATCAAAATAACAACAATAACAATAATAATTATAGTAACAATAATAAAATTAAATACCCTTTTGCAACCATAAGATGTGGTACAATCACTTGACGATAGATTTTGTCGTATTGTTCTTGCAAGCCACCTAAACCAACTGATTTGAGATCAAAATTCTGATCCTATTTAAAAAAATAAATAACTAAATAAATTTAATATTTAAATAAATTTAAAATAATACTTATAAATATAAATAAAATAAAATAAAGGATAAACTACATAAAAGGTTACTAATGTTTGAATAAGTTTTTTTTTCCATTGATGTTTCAAAACTAACGATTTGGTCACTAACATTGATGTCATTTACTAGAATGAAATAAGTATAAATAATTGTTGAGTTTACTGAGAAGGCACACGAAAAATCTCATGAAAATTCCTCTTCCTTATTCTATCTTTTCTAATTGGATTTGCTGGTTTTTCTCATTGTCGAACGCACACAACAATGTACCTGTTGAAAAGTTTTTCCTTAGAATGTTCCGCACAACAAGGGCATGGGATACTGGTTTTTAGTTGCATAATGTCATTACCATGGAGACATATTCTTTATGGTGCATGCTTGTTTCATTTCACATCATTTTTACTGGCTTTTACAGGGTATGTAAAAGACAAGGGAAAAAGACTTGATTGGGACTTCTTTATTCCCCCATTATACACCAAAGGCTTCGAGAGATATCAAAAGGTTGGGATTAACCAAAATCTTAAACTATCGGTCTCTCCTATGTCATATGCAGCAATTACTATTTCTTTGGAGAAGGTGTTGGGCAGTTTGAGTCCAAGAGAGAGGCAAGTGATCAGGTGAAGGTTTGGAATGGAAGACCATATGATGAAAACTTTGCAAGAAATAGCGAGTTGATGCATGTAAGCAGGGAAAGAGTCGAACGCCATTGAAAAAAGAGTGAGAGTCAAAGTTAAGAGGCAAAGGGCACCAACTCAGCAGCTCAAACGTGACACATTATTAGATGATTGATGATGTTAGTAATCAAATTGTTAGTTTTGAAACATAAATCGAGAAAAGAAAAACTTAATTAAACATTATGTAAGTAATGTACCCTAAAAACTTACAAGAAGAATCCGTCTCCTCAACTGAAGAGTTGTATTTGAAGATATGATTCCTGTTCCACCGCTCGAAGCATTAACATCCATAAGAATTTTCTGTGATTTGATGACAACCTGAAAAATACAGTAATAATATAAACAAACAAAAATTATTATTTGACTTTCGACGATTTGAGTTTTCTGATTATGCAAGAGGCAAATTAATTTTTTAATTTAAATCAATCATAGTAGAAAATAAATCTGATTCACAAGCAGCTTATGTAATTTTTCCTTCACTGCATCTGAAATTGGTGGATCGACTTCCAACTCCAAGCTATTGAGTACAAAGTCTCAATCAGCAAAAAAAAAAGTGACGAAGACCAATTGCACAAAGTCTCCCTCAGCAAAAGAAAAGTGACCAAGAACAATTGCACGTCCTTCGTTTGTTATCAAATGGAATTTGTGAGAGATTCATCGCCACACAATTTTCAATTAGGGACTTATTCTCTTCCACTTTATAAACAAAACTATCAATCTCAACAATTTTGTTTCCTCGCAATTGACCCAGAACTCTGAATATTAATTTTACTCGATTTCAAAAAAATTACAACGGTTATAACAGCATATATATAATTTGTAGGAGACCCATTATATTTGATAACTTTAACAGCAATATCGGACATGATTCCTGTCACGATTTTCCTTACCAAAATAGATCAGTGGCGACGACACAACCACGCCAAGGCGAAGATCAAGTTACGGGCAACTGTGCGACGATTGGCTTCACCGGTGGTGAACTTCAGGTGAACGGCGGCGGATTGTTAAGAAGATGAGAAACGATGAGCCAAAAAGAAAAGAAATAGGAAGAGGAAAAGATACTGAAGGGTGCGGCTGAGCGATGATTTTATACTGAGTTATAAAATAAAAAGGATAACCCCTTCATAAGTTCTTGATTTTCTTAGGGTTTTCAAAATGGCCAAACGTTTATTCTTATTTTCAAAACAGTCACTAAAATTTTTAAAATTTTCAATTTGATCCTAAAACAATTTTAGGGTTTTAAATGAAAAATTCTCAATTTATAGGTTTTTAATTTGGGGGAAAATTGGGTATTACAGCTTTAATGTAAACTTCCCACACGCAAAGAAAATTGTTGAAGAGCAATCACATCATGTTAAGGGGGAAAAACCCCCTACCATTGCAAGCAAATATGCTTTAAGCAACTTGAGCATAAAAAACATGTTTCTTCACCACTATACAGTGCCAGGCTCCTTGTGTGGTCTACATTGATGAAAGACACTAAAGATAAGTGAGCTTCATCACACTTTATAAGATGAAAAGTTCAATGGCAGCCTTCAGCTTCGTCGGCATGCTAAACACGCTTCGGTGATCAAGATGGAGGGTTGTACTTAAAATGTTGCTTGTATAAGTTGATTAACTTAAATGGAACAAAATGAGACAAAATGTGCTAGAATTGTCCGAGTATGACACTATTGATGGAAGGTTGATGCTATTTGATCATATATACACAGAGAGAGATACCGCTATATAAGTCGGCTTGGGAATTGAAAATGAGACTGCACTTGTTATCCTACTCTGTCTTCTACAACTAATGTAATAGAGTTACAACAATCTATACACACAAATTGAATATGGCAGCCTTTAGCTTCAACAACATGCTACATACATCTTGGTAATCAAAACGAAGGGCTATACTTAAGATGTTGCTCATGGAAGAAAATGAATAGGCAAGAAGATGATCTATTACCAGCAGGTTAGCTTAAAGATATAAGTTGTCCACCATAAAGGAAAATTGATATAATAAATGTGTTTTGTTTTTTAATGAAATAATGAAATGTAAACAACCATTATGACTAAATAAGTATTAGAGGAATTGTATGTTTGATGCATAAAAAGAATGTAAAATGTTTCATTGAAATTTTTTTCCTGCTTTCTCTGAACAGCCATTTGTAATTGTAGGTAAACCTTTGGCTAATGGAAAGATGTTTTAAACAAGCCATTTTGATTCTAAAACTCAGCTATGATGCATATGAAAGCAAATACTGCTGCGGATGTTTTGTTCTCCTTTTGTTCTTCAACTTCCGAAAGGCGCACAACTCGATTTGCCGGATCCTTTCCCTGCTTCAACCCATCGACTCCCCGATTTCTTGCAAAGTTTTCATCCTGCCGTCTTCCATTCCGAACCTCCATCGGATGACCTGCCTCTCGCTTGGACTCAAACTGTCCAACACCTTCTCCAGATCCTTCTTCATGAACTCCTTCAGCAAGATATCTTCTGCCGAATCTGCTTCGGGGTCCGCAATTACTTCCTGGACAAAAATTAACGTAGTCCCATCAGATGTCGAAACTAAACCGGAATTCAATAACGATGACAGGTTAAAAACGGGAAAAGGAGATAGTAATTGCTGCATATGGCATAGGACGGCCCAATGGTTTAAGATTTTGGTTAATCCCGATCTTCTGATCGAGTGATCGAGGTGCCTTTGGCGAGAGTAGAACAGCAGTGAGCCTCTTCATGGACAGCCCTGTTGCCTGTGCAACTTCTTCATTGTCAGGCTGTCTTCCATTTTCACTGTACAGCTTCTTTCGTGCTTCCTTCACTCGATATGTTGCCTCAACCATGTGAAACTGTAAATCATATAAATGTAACCGGTAGTCGTTATTGATCGTCGAAACTTGCAAAGGGCAAGAATTTAGGACCAGAATAGTCTAGTACTTACCGGCAAGCGAATTGTTCTGGACTGATTCGAAAGAGACTTCCGTACAGCTTGCATAATCCACCAGTGAGCATAAGTTGAGAAATTGAAGCCTTTAGAAGCATCAAACTCAGCACCTCTCATAAGGCCTCGGCATCCTTCCTGCGACTGAACCGTGCAAGATTTAGACACTTAAGCAAAAGCTAAACCCGCTATTTTGCTCGTTCTCTCTTTATCTTCTTATCTGCTGCATGCAAGAGATCACACCGTGCAAATACTGCACAAAATAATTGGCAGTGAGCAAGTAGGGTTATAATAACTAAGAGCACACCAGCTTACATGAAACTAGATCTTTACATCTGTAATTGCTTTTAATCTTAGTAGGCAGTAAGCAGCGTAATTTCATAATTTTTTTCCATTAAATTCAAAAGTAATTATAAATTAAGCAATATTTGTTTCATAACATAAACAAAGTAAGCAGATTGGCCTAGTGACTAGAGTCATTGAGTTCCAAACGGGTAACCTAAGTCTGAGTCCTCCGGTAACAAAAATTGTAAATAATTTAGGTAAACTATGCGAATAATTCTCTTTGTTTAGGGTATGACTGACTATAGGCACCAATTAAAAATTAAGGATAAAGGATAAATGGTCTCTCACATTATCAGTATGTCCGGTTTAAGTCTCTCTGTTATTAATTTCCGTTAACCCTCTTTTGTTTAAGTCCCTAACATGGTTGAAGGACTAAATTTTAATAGGAGTTAATGGCTGAGTGACTAAAATCAAATGAATCGATAAAATTATTAACTAAAATTGAACGGATCCATATCGTTAGGGACTATTTTCCCTTAATTTTTAATTTTAATATAAATATTAATTATACTTTTTTTTTCTTAAAAAAGCTTATGTGACAAATTGTCACATCACGTCTACTCTGAAGTGCGCATACCACATTAGCATCTCCCTCCACATGTTCTGGTTGAGTCAGCTTCGACGCTAATCATTAATTGAGTAATAATTATCGTCTACTCAAATAAGTTAATTTTGTCTTGTCAAAAAAATAGGGATCTAAACTTGTCTTGTCAAAAAAATAGGGTTCAATTTAACACTTTTATCAAACGTTAGAGGTATTTTAGAAATTGGCATAATGCAAATAAATACCCCTAAACGTTTGATTATGAGGCATAAGTACCCCACGTTGGATGGAATCCGTCAGTCAACTGACGGTCAATGGGTCCATCTGACGTGGCATGCACATGTGGTCATCGATGATGACGTGGCATTTCCATGTCGTTATTTTTTGATGACATGGCACGTTCATATCATATTAGATGCTGACGTGGCATATCCACGTAGACTAAATACTGACATGACATGTACATGTGTGATGCCATGTCATCAATTTTTTTAAATTAATTAATAATAAATAATTATTTTCTATTAAATTAATATTAACTAATCATATGTTGCCACGTGGCAAATGAAATTTTTATTAAATTAAGAAAATAGAAAATAAACTTCTACAAATTTTGCACTCCATGGGATTTGAACCTAGGTCTAAAGAGTGAAAACCTTGATACCTAATCATCAGGCCAAGTTACTTGATTGTTATTGAATGACTAATAACAAGATTTAAAGTATATTGTTGCCATCAAAACCACCATTAACACAAGCATTTTAAAAAAAATTATAGTTAGATTTAAATTGTTATAATTATTTGAGTAAATTTAAATTATCCATAGATCTTTTTAAATTTAAATTTATAAATCGATCTGGGTTTTAATTAATTTTAAATTTATAAACTATTAAAAAAATCATAGGAAAATTGATATGGGGATAAACCATAGGTGTTTTTTAAAGTTTATAAATTTAAAATTAATTAAAATTTTATCTTCAATGGTGTATTTCATGTGGCAACTTCACTAGAATTCGACATTCGAAGGAGAATATTGGTAAATTCTGCATTTTTTTATCTTCAAAGCATTTTAATTCACGTTTCGACAGTTCATCAATCTAACAGATCATTTGATTTTTCTAAGAATCCTATGTTAGATCAAATATCATTTACCCTGCAATCAAAGGCACGAAGACCTCTTCAAATCTTGCTTGAAAACCAACACTGTGAAAAGGGTTGTTTTCACATATTCCATAAGCACTATCACTACTAAAGACAAAAATGGAGATTGGAGATCTGTTGTTGATGAATCAAAGTAAAATTAAAAAACTGAAATTTAAAATTTTAATTAATTTTAAATTTATAAACTTTAAAAAAGACCTATGGTTTATCCCCAGATCGATTTACCTATGATTTTTTTTTTAAAAGCTTATAAATTTAAAATTAATTAAAACCTCATATCGATTTATAAATTTAAATTTAAAAAGACTTATGGATAATTTAAATTTACTCAAATAATTATAACAATTTAAATCTAACTATAATTTTTTTTTAAAAAATACTTGTGTTAATTGTGGTTTTGATGGCAACAATATACTTTAAATATTGTTATTAGTCATTTAATAACAACCAAATATCTTGGCCTAATGATTAGGTATCAAGGCATTAATCCTTTAGACCCAGGTTCAAATCTCATGGAGTGCAAAATTTGTAGAGATTTATTCCCTCTTTTCTTAATTTAATAAAAAATTCATGTGCCTCGTGACAACATCTGATTGGTTGATATTAATTTAATAAAAAAATAATTATTTATTATTAATTAATTTTTAAAAAAATTGATGACATGGCATCACACGTGTACATACCACGTCAATATTTAGTCTACGTAGATCTGTCACGTCATCATCTACTATGATATGAACATGCCACGTCAGCAAAAAAATAATGACATGGAAATATCACGTCATCATCGATGACCACATGTGCATGTCACATCATAATCAAACGTTGTGAGTAGAACTGCTAAAAAAAACGATTTGGAAACAAATACATATAATCCAAACGTTAGGGATATTTGATTACATTATGCCTTTAGAAATTATAAATTGTTTGTGGTTACAATATGCTATTCTTTATTATTCTTTTGAAATTAATACATGTTTAGTTCATATCTGTTGATAGTTCCATTATTTTTCAAAAATAACGCCATGTGAAAAAAAAGGATAAATTATTCACATGCCCTTTGATTTCTCTTTATGGTTATTTCTGCAAAACAGAGCAGCGTGTTTTGCTACATCATTTAACTAGAGACACCATAGAGGTAATTTTGACAGAAAACGGGGAGCATTGATGCCATTATCCCAATGAATAATAAGTGTAGTCCATACTCAAATGATGATACAAGTCTAATTAAAATTAAGCCATTGAACTTCCACACAGCACATTATTTTTAATCTAAGTTGAGGAGTGAACTTCCACTCTCCATTATGTCCTAAACTGGAGTTTAATCTCTATCATCGTCATCATGAGCAGAAAGGATAACATACTCGTTAATATTTCAGTTAATTGCATAAAAGATCTCAACGTGCCTCCTCAATTGATCTCTAAACTTTAAAATATTCTATTTCAATCCTAAAACTATCAATTCTATTACAATCAAATCCACTGTCAATCTTCCTTAATAAAATGGTTTATTATGATAAAAAGTTTCAGACCAGGACACAAACCTTTTCAACACTTTTCCACTACCCTAAGCATGCCTCATCAACATGTAAACAAAAATATTAATTAAATATATTTAGCCATAAAGTTCATCACAATCAAACTGTCCATCAAAATAAAACCTCTTCCTAGCACCCAAAATATCCATATTGCAAAAACACATCATAATCAAAGAGTTTTGTGATGTTAAAACACCATTCTACAAAACGAAACACTTTGACCAGTTTAACAGTAGCGTACCTTATCATTCATCTTCCAAAACTGGTCCACTCAAGGGTGATCACAAAAGATGTGCAATATGGATTCATAATCTGCAATTACTTGAGGAGAAATGGGTTTGGCTTGCATATTTTGGCTGGATATTCTTCATAAAACAGTTAGCAGTAATTTATCTTGGAGATTAATCAGAACTTTGGCACTTTAGTAAATTAGTAAATCTCAGCAAAATGGGATGTCCAGTTACGACAAAACCATATTCTGTGTGGGATAATAGGAGCGTAATCAAGCCGCGACAGCCTCAAGTTAGAGAGCAATTAAGAATTGAATTGGCAACCAAAGCCACAAAGCAGGATGAAGAAGATGCTAGAGGAAATGGCAGTGAAACATATATTACAGCTCCCTCAGTAGATCAATCTTGTTCCATCTTGCTTTGTAACTTTGGTTGCCAATTTTCATTTTCTGAAGTCTTCCATCCTTGATCTTGTCTCCAGCTTCATCCTGAATTGAAGGAACAAAACACAACAATCACAAAACAAGATAAATAAAAGGAAACAAATGTGAAACCAAATCAATGAAGCAAATAACAAATGTGATAATTACAAAACAATGATAAAACTGATAATGAGACAAAATAAAATCAAATGATAACAGTCTTATTTTAAGTACTATTATTCAAAATTATGACAACAACACGACTATCCCAGAGCCAACCAAGCCTCCATCACCACTTCTGCCAGCTGGAGCACCTTTGGCAGCATCCTCCTCTTCCATGGCTATTTAACCTGCATCAACAACCCAAGAAAGTAGTCTACAAAACCATTAGCCACCCTTCCAATGCCAAACCGTAACCGGCCACCATCCCCAAGACCTACTCACTCAAACCCTCACTACCAACCTCCCATCTAACACACACCATAGCCTCCTGCCACGCATTCTAAACACCAGTGAATGTCAACTGTTGAGCGAAACTCCAACACAAAGCTCCAACATGCGGAAATGAAGTTGGGACTGTTATGCGCTACTGTGCTCATGTATATGCATCTCGGAGAGTGGATGGAGGTAAGGAATGCAGCGCCTGCTCCACATTCCGTTTGTGCATTGCTCTTTTGACGCACTATAGCAACATATAGAGTGAAGAAGCACGAAAACAGCTGTACAGTGAAAATGGTAGACCAGACAATGTAGAATCTTGAGGACAAGGGTCCTCAATTAGGGGAGGTAATGTTGAGACCATATTATTCAAGGTACAACAGCACAGGCAGTGAAAATTCAGCAAGTAACAGTAACAAACAAGGCAACTATATCAAATGAGGCGAATCAGGGTGAGTCAGCAGCAACATCGAGGAACAAGGAAGAAAACGATACCTAAGGCAACGAACTTTGTCTTTTACTAGAATGAAAGAAGTATAAATAACCTTAGTGTGTAAAAGACAAGGGAAAAAGACTTGGTTGGGACCTAAAGAACCATATAGTTGATTGTTTATGTTCTTTATTCCTCCATTATACACCAAAGGCTTCGAGAGATATCAAAAGGTTGGAATTAACCAAAATCTTAAACTATCCGTCTGTCCTATGCCATATGAAGCAATTATTATTTCATTGGAGAAGGTGTTGGGCAGTTTGAGTCCAAGAGAGTGGCAGGTTATTCAGATGAGTTGGAGTTGGTGGGCTGAATCGTTTGCTTTGGCTTCTGGTTTTCCATTTGTGGCTGAGATGTTGCAGTTTAGCTTGTTGGTCTGATTGTTTGAGTGCTTTGTTTGGACATTTAATGGTGTGCGACTTTGGTATTGATTAAGGGTGTGTGCAGCTGTCGTGCTTGTGTGTTTTCGGGTGCTTTGCTCTCAGATATTTTGGTGTAGCTGTAACGCTTTGCTTAAGCTACTAATCGTGGGAAGGGCGCCTTTGGGTTCAGTCGGATGTTGGCCTCTGTTTGTGCAGCAGCTGGTTTAGAGAGTATGTTTAACCTGGGTTGTTGTTTATCAAGCTGTTCTGGTTGTTTAGAGCGATCCCTTGTCAAAAGAAAGAAAAAAAAACAGCCGCTTAAACATGCAACATTGAAACATCAATCGAGAAAAAAACTTAATTAATCATTAGTGGCCATGTAAGTAATTTACCCTAAAAACTTACAAGATGAAGAATCGGTTTCCTCAGCTGAAGAGTTGTATTTAAAGATATGATTACTCCTTCTCCGCTTAACGCTGAGCTTATAATGCTTATAATGAATATAAACAAACAGACACTATAATTTGAGTTTCGGCGATTTGGGTTTTCTGATTATACAAGAGGCAAACTAATTTTCTAATTTAAATCAACCAAGATAGAAAATGAACCTGATTCTCAAGCAGTTTATGCAATTTTTCCTTCAATACATCTGGCATTGGTGGATTGACTTCCAACTCCAAGCTTTTGAGTGCAACATCTCACTCAGGAAAAGAAAAGTAGCGACATGTACTTCGTTTATTCTCAAACATACCATTTGTGTGGGATTCATCGCCACACAATTTCTAGTTAGGGACTTCTTCTCTTTCACTTTATAAACAAAACGACCGATCTCAACCTATTTTTTTCTTCCAATTGGCCCAGAACTCTGAAAATTACTATTGCTTGATTTTAAAAAATCAACAACAGGTATACCGGCATATATATGATTTGTACGAGGCTCATTATATTTATTATATTTGAAAGCTTTTACAGCAGTGTCGGACATAATTCCTGTTAGAGGAGAATGTTGGACATTCAACAATGTTAGTCTGAATACATAGCATAAAGTCCGAAATCGATATTTAACATAATCAAATATTCCGAATGCATAGCATAAAGTCCGAAGTCGATAATTAACATAATCAAATATTAAAAATACACAACATATATTTTAAATATGACATATCAACATAATCTCACGACATTTTTTTAAATTACAATAATTTCAATTAATGTCACAGTACAGTCAACATTCACAAATCAACAATGCATATCATCAACCAAATAATCACAAAAATATATTTAATACTGGTCAGAGACATACCTCGACAAAATAACAAGCAAAGATTCCATGGTCACTTCAAACAGTAGGTCGAACCGAATCAGCTACTACAGAATAATTTAATAAAACAATTAACATTCTAAATAACTGAAATAACCAAACGAACTAAAAATGCTAATTATCACTCACAATCAACTCGAGAAACACGGTAATTCTGATTCTAGTTTGATGTCCTCTGCAAAAATATGATATGTATATCAAAAGCCCAAATTAACAATTTCTGAATATTTTACGATAAAAACGACACTAAAATAATTTTCGGTTCGATATCGGGGCCGAGACAGCAAGCTACCGGTCGAACAATGACTACGACACAACCAAGCCAAGGAGAAGATCACGTAATGGGGCAACTGTGCGACGATTGGCTTCACCGGTGGTGAACTTCACGTGAACGGCGGCGGCTTGTGAAGAAGATGATCGACGATGAGTCAAAAAGAAAAGAAAAAGGAAGAGGAAAAGATAAAGAAGAGTGCGGCCGAGCGATGGTTTTGTATTGAGTTATAAAAGAAAAGGACATAATCGCTTCATAAGTTCTTGAGTTTCTTAGGGTTTTTTAAAATGGCCAAAATTTTTATCTGATTTGAAAATTAGTCACTAAAATTTCTAAAATATTCAATTTGATCCTAAAACAATTTTATGTTTTAAATGAAAAATTCTCAATTTCTACCAATTGGCCCAGAATTCTGAAAATTACTTTTGCTCGATTTTGAAAATTCTACAATGGGCTTACCAGCGTATATACGATTTGTAGGAGGCTAATTATATTTGAGAACTCTAACACGCAGTTGGGGCATGATTCTTGTGAAGTATTAGATAGAGGAGAATGTTGGTGATTGAATGAGGGATTATGAGAAATTGATCGATAGGTGAAGTGGTGAACGGATTGGCAGACGGGTTTTTGTAACACACTAAAACATGAAAGAGGAAGGAACAAGAAGAATCAAATATTTAGAGAGGAAAAGAGACCAAAAACAATAGGGAGCAGAAGAAATCCAAACAATTTCATTCATGATATATTTATTATATTTAACCTAACATATACTAGAATTTAGAACCTAAAAAGCAGCCCAGTACATGGCCCATTAACATTTTTATCTATTTATAATCTACGTATTCTTATTTGAAAATTTTGACATCAATTACTAACTTAAGATTAAAGACGGTGATAATAAAACCTACTTACCAACGCAGTTTGAGGAGAAGAAATATATAGATATGGAGTCGTCTCTTTACTTACCTAACAACTGATTAAAAAAATTAGGTTAAGGTTTATATAGAATTATATTCCGAGGGTGCAAAAGTAATTTACAGATAAAATATTGAGAATATATTAAAAAACAAAATAAATAGAATAAATTATACATTCAGTGCAGAAACTATTTTTTTTTTATTTTGATTTGGTATTTATATTTTATTTTTTAAAAATATATCTATATTCAATTTATATTTTATTTTAAACTCATCATTGATAAATTATTTATCGATCATATCAATCATTCTTTTAATTCTTTAACAGTGAAATACGATATTAAAATTTAATTTAAAAAATAATAATTTAAGTAATTATCAAAAACAATATTCACCTTGCCGTGCTGCATGCGATAAATAGGCGTTGTGGACCTGCCATTTTGGCAGGTATGGGCACATGGCGGGGCCACGTTCAATTTAATGTTTTGAAAAATTTGAAAGTAATGGACGGAAATAAGGCTAAAATATTATTTTTATAGCTATGGCAGCAGCAATCCTACCCATAGTATTCCCAAAACACAATATTTTGGGCCTTGAAATTCCCGATCAATTTTATGGGCTTAGCTGATATGGGCCTCAAATCAATACATGATCCAATATTAATTTAAATTATATCTAATTTTCACCCTAATATATATATATATATATATATATATATATATGGATCTCACAAAAATATTTAGAGAAATTAAGTAAATGTTATAATAATTATCTTCAAAATATTTTCTTTATAAAGATAATATTATGAATATATTTATTATTTTAGATTATATTTAATTCATTAAATAACATTAAATTTTTACAAAGAATATTGAAAAATATATATGTATATTTTATAGTAAAAGTATTATGAGTTACGTCAGATATATATTCCCACAAACCTGATAATTATAAAATCTGATCCGTCAGACTTAAACCTGATTTTTTTTTAAAAAAACTTATCCTATAAGATTGAATCGAAACTCCGAATTCCATTTCTATCACTGTGTGTATAACAATGACACGCTCTTAACAAGTGTGAGTTGTAAAGAAAATGTAATTTTTATTTTAAAAAAAGTAGGGCCTCGTTAAAACCCCTTCATAATCAACACTAAACTAAGGTTTAGTATCAAAAAGAGGAAGGGGGAAAAGAGTACCCATAAATTTATTATTAATAAACTCAATCAAAGATATCCCCATACAAGGATTCATCAGTATGAAAAACATAAACCAAGAGCAAACCCAAACAGGATAAATTCCAAAATATTAAAACCACGGGTTTTGTCCCATGCTAGACATGATTTCCCTTATATACTGCAGTCACTTAAACAATCCAACCTGCTATATAAGAGTCTAGGCTCCAATGGAGTATTATGCCACTTTTAGCTTCAGCTTGCCCATTGTGTAAGCAATATCGATGTCTGTAACACTTCTACTAGTACTTGTTCCATCTTGCTTTGTGACTTTGGTTGCCAATTCAAGTATCGTAATCAAATCCTTAATTGATACCTGCATTTTTTACTCGTAAACAAAATGATAAAATGGGCAGGACGATCAGTCAATCTTAGTTTTAAAAGGCGCAAGGCGCACCGAGGCGCAAAGGGTCCTTGGAGTTTAGGCGCAGGGCTAAGGCACGAGCCTTTTTAGGCGAGGTGCAGTGATATCCTAATATTCATTTAAGCTCTCATGACTGTCATTTTTGTATATCTCACTGATCCAGAGGTATTATCTAATCCCTAATAATTCTAATAGGGAATCATTAATTCTAGTTCCATGCCTTGCCTTCCTTCTAGTCCCAAACACTGGGTTATTAATCGATGAGATGACTTTCCCCTTACCCATTTCTTGTCTGTGTGTCCCTTACTTCTTAGAATCAGTTGACAGTAAGCAGTTTTACTAACAAACTCCCAAGTCTTAACCACTCTCTACCAGATTCCAACCGTCACTAACTTCAACACAATTGATCCTAACACAAGAATGGAACAGACCTATTTGCACTTATTGAGCACAAACATAAAACTATCTACAAGTATAGATGGTTACCACGTGGAAGTTGAAACAACTTGTCCACGCAAAACTGAACGAAAGAATGAGGGACACTAAAGCGTCAAAAGCGGTGCGCCTTGTGCCTCGTCAAAAGGTTACAAAAGCGCGCACCTATATGAGCTTTTGGTTCCTCGCCTCGCTTTTTACTCTGGAGGCGTTTTTTTATGAGCCCACGTGTGCCTAGTGCTTTAGGTGTGACCAGGCGCGCGCCTTTTAAAATTAAGCAGTCAAATTGTCCTACAATCGATTTTTGTGGTTATCAAATTACTAACAAGGAGGAAAGGCTGATACTTACCGGTGCAAAGTCGATTGCCAGTTTGATGCACTCTTCAAAAGGAATAGAAAACAATTGACCCATAACCTGCAAAAATTACACCCACAAAGAAGAAGAAAAAAATGTTCATTTGGGTTAAGCATTTTCACTGCAAATACACTCGCTTAGAGGATATACCTTTTCAGCGCCTTCTGATGTCAATTTTGGAACATTTAATGTTTTCTGAAATTCCTCTTCAAGCTTTACAGACTTTAGAAGGTCCAAATCACTTGTAGTTGCAATAACCATATGTTTGTGATCCTACAAATTAACGTATCAGAATCTTGTATTTGGTTTTGATAACATCATATGGTACAAATGTACCATTTTATAATGAAAATGGAGAGAAATAGAAATTGGATTTCACCTCTGGTATCTCCATTTTCAGACAAGTTTTCAAGGCATTCGATACACCTTGGGAATTGTTATCCACAAACCTTGGATAAAGAATGAATTATATCAAGATCTGATTATGACTCATAAAAAAAGAAACAGTTAAAAAATTCAATACCATGGATGTACCTTTCTATGTCATCAATTATGATCAAACTTAGAGGGTAACTCTGAGCGCGGCTCCAACTCTGTTCAATTCATACATATGAAAAATGAATGTCAAGACTAGAGGACATGGTAAAAAATTCCTCAACGCCATGATAGTTAATAAATCACTATGAAAGTAGTTAGCCTTCACTAACATACCTTCAAAATCATGTCACGTTTTTGCAATTCTGACAAGTTTATAAAATCATTTGGAGTGATCTACGAATTCATAAAAAATATATATATAAAAAAATTAATTATTTTTGTGGATATAAATTTAGACCAACAATAAGGAAAATATGACTTACAATTTCAACATGATCAAACTTGTTAGTTAATCCAATACTAGCTGCCATGAAACTTTTACCGCTGTTTGACGATAACCAAGTTAGAAAAAGATAAAAGAAATACATATTAAAAGAAAATTTGAGAATTAGAAGTAATTTTGTTACTCACGTGCCACGTGAGCCTTCTAAAAGAATGTTAATAGAGCGACATATGTTGCATTGCAAATATTTAACCAATCGCTCTAGAGTTCGATAAGAATTCCTATGCTCAGGTAAGTCTATCTTCTCATTTTCCCTGAATTTTCACATGGCAAATTTGTTACACATACATACAAAAAATCATTATTTTGATAATAAAAATTATTCAGATTAATTGATATTACCTCATTGGCTTCAATTGATTAGAAGGTTTTGTGTCTGACAGTGCAAATTGAAAATCTTCCATTGTAAATCTCAAGTTTTCAGGGTCGCGAAGAAATGCTCGAGTTAGCGCATTCCTCACTAGAGCTTCTAAATCAGCCCCAGAGTATCCAGCGGTTTCCCTCACAGTTTGACAAATCGCACAAACCGTACATTAAAAATACAAAACAAGACAAAATGAAAGGTATAATCTTATTAATAAAAGACAAAAAATAAATGAAAATCAAACTAAATTAAGAGAGATCTAAGAAACAAATTAATGACTTAAATCTTTTACGGTTTAATAAAGATAAAATAATCAAATACCTATTTCCTCAAAATTAACATCAGTGGATGAAGAGGGATGTTGTATCATCGATGACACATGTAGCTGCAAAATCTCCGATCTTTCTTGGATACTCGGCAAGTGCATCTTAATATGGACTTCAAAACGACCAGGTCTACATTCAATAATTAAATTTACTTAATAAATTTTCATCACCAAATATTATCGAACAATTAAAGAAAGCAATAACATTCTAGTAATTTTTTTAATGCAAAAATGAAAATCGAAGATACATAAGAACATATTTTATACCTTAAAATAGCAGGATCAATTAAATCTATCCTATTTGTTGTACCAATGACAAGAATATTGTCCAAGCTATCCGGGCCATCAATCTGAAAATAGTATATCCTTATATCAATACAAAGTTAAACAAACGATTAGTGCCTTTAAAATGATTTTTTCATACCATAGTTAATAGTTGATTTACAACTAAATCTCTCGCCATCGAACCACCACTACCTCCATCTCTATGCTGTAAATAAAATGTATTTTTTATGTTAGAAAAGATCATATTAATATATATATCAATTGCAAAATTCCAATCAAACTGCTGTCCGAATAAAAGGTTTCCTACATTTCAAACGAAAACTAATATAAAATCAAAATAATAGAGAGGAAGGAGGAAAATATGTTTACCCCAGCAATTGAATCAAGTTCATCAAATACAATGACGTGTATCTTACTCTCTTTTCCTGGCCGAAACAAAAAGTATTGATGAATTATTACTTCACAAACAAAAATAATTTTATATAAACATGCACAATTTCAGATCTTGTACCATGCTCTTTAAAGTCTTTTCCGGCATCTTCAAATATTTCTCGAACCGCTTGCTCAGACTCTCCCACAAATTTTTTGAAAATTTCAGGTCCCTTGATGATCTGCTTATGAATGTAAAAGTTTATAACATAATACTTGGTACTAAAATAAAAAATGATGATCTATTCATAAATATTACCTTTGCTTCTTGATCGCTAAAATGGTGGGAAATTACTTTCGCAAGAGCCGTCTTCCCAGTTCCAGGGGGTCCGTAAAGAAGTATCCCACGAGGACATTTTACTTTTAATCTGGATAAAGATTATAATCAAAATAAACAATAACAATAATAATTATAGTAACAATAATAAAATTAAATACCCTTTTGCAACCATACGACGTGGTACAATCACTTGCCGATAGATTTTGTCATATTGTTTTTGCAACCCACCTAAACCAACTGATTTGAGATCGAAATTCTGATCCTATTTTTTTTTTTTAAAAAAACCAAAGAAATTTAATATTTAAATAAATTTAAAATAATGCTTATAAATAAAAATAAAATAAAGGATAAACTACCTAAAAACTTACAAGATGAAGAATAGGTTTCCTCAGCTGAAGAGTTGTATTTGAAGATATTATTCCTCTTTCTCTACTCAAAGCATGGACAATAAGATTATAATGAATACCCTCAACATCCATAAGAATTTTCTGCGATTTGATTACAACCTATAGTAATATAAACAAACATAAAGTATTATTTAAATTTCAATGATCTGGGTTTTCTGATTATACAAGAGACAAACTAATTTTTCTAATTTAAATCAATCAAAGTAGAAAATAAACCTGATTCTCAAGCAGCTTATGCAATTTTTCCTTTAAAACATCTGGCATTGGTGGATTGACTTCCAACTCCAAGCTTTTGAGTGCAAAATCTCCTTCAGGAAAAGAAAATTGGCCAAGAACAATAGCATGTCCTTCGTTTGTTCCCAAGCATTCCATTTGTGTGGGATTCATCGCCACACAATTTAAGCCTAAAGACTTATTCTCTTCCACTTTATAAACAAAACTACGATACTCAACATATTTTTTTCTTCCAATTGGCCCAGAACTCGAAAAATTACTTTTGTTCTGTTTCAAAAAGTCTACAACGTTTGTACTAGCATATATATAATTTGTGGGAGACCCATTATATTTGGAAACTTTAACAGCAATGTTGGACATGATTTCTGTCACCATTTTCCTTACCAAAACAGATCAGTGGCGACAACACAACCACGCCAAGGAGAAGATCAAGTAACGGGAAATTGAGCGACAATTGGCTTCACCGGTGGTGAGCTTCACGTGAACGGCGGCGGCTTGTGAAGAAGATGAGCGACGATGAACCAAAAGGAAAAGAAAAAGGAAGGGGAAAAGATAAAAAGAAGCTGCGCGATGGTTTTGTAAGAGGAAATGAGTTATAAAAGAAAAAAGAGATAATCGACTAAAATGTTTTTGTGAAGAAGATGGTTTTGTAAGATGGACAAATGTTTATCTTATTTTCAAAATGATCACTAAAATTTCTAAAATTTTCAATTTGGTCCTAAAACAATTTTAGGGTTTTAAATGAAAATGTCTCAATTTACAGGGTTTTTAATTTGGAGGAAAATTGGGGTGTTACAGCTTCAATGCTAAACTTCCCACACTTACGCAAGAAAACTGTTGAAGAGCAATCACATCATGTTAAGGGGGAAAACCCCCTACCATTGCAAGCAAATATGCTTTAAGCAACTTGAGCACAAAAAATATGTTTCTTCACCACTATACAGTGACAGGCTCCTTGTGTGGTCTACATTGATGAAAGACACTAAAGATAAGTGAGCTTCATCACACTTTATAAGATGAAAGATAAAGATGGAGGGTTGTACTTAAGATGTTGATGGTATAAGTTGATTAACCTAAATGGAACAAAATGAGACAAAATGTGCTAGAATTGTCAACTCTTGGAGCCAAGAGTTGTATGAGCGCTAAGAAGGTTATAGAGACATCTTAATTGCTGTCTGATACGAGAGCTGAAAATTCTACAGGCTTTATGATCTTGGTTATGGCAGGTACATTTACATAATTATCAATCAGGGGCCTATGACTCTCGAACCATCTATTGTTAAACCAAGATTAACCATTTCCATATCTGCATCTGTAATGTCATAGCCAACACGGATAGCATTTTGAGTCGAATTAAGTCGAGAAGAAGCTGAATCCTGTTTAAACCTCTTAAGAAAACCAGACTTCCTCCTTTTGGCTCCTCTGTGATGATCACTTAGAACTGATTCCCCAACCCTTGGTAGCCCATTGACGGGAAGCTTACATGCAATGTCCCCTTTGGAAGAGAGTGCACATTTTGGCTCACTAGGCTTGGTATCATAATCATTTTCATCCTTCGCCTCATTAATTATCTTTGAATTGTTTACTGTTCATGTAGCTTAGACTAATAGGATTCCATACGATGCAGTTCCAGAAAAAACAATGCAATAAATTGCTGCTATGTATAAGATACCAAGGGGAAAAACCCTTACCATTGCAAGAAAACATGCTAAGCAATTAGAGCAAAAAAGAAAAAAGGTTTCTTCACTATGCCAAGTTCCTTGTGTGGTCTACATCGATGAAAGACACAAAAAAAGATAAGTGAGCTTCATCACAGATCATAAGAGAAGCGTTCAATGGTCGATATAACGACATTAAATGTCCGAATATGACACTATTGATGGAAGGTTGATTCTATTTGATCATATATACATTGAGAGAGAGAGAGAGATACCGCTATATAAGTCGGCTTGGGAATTGAAAATGAGACTGCACTTGTTATCCTACTCTGTCTTCTACAACTAATGTAATAGAGTTACAACAATCTATACACACAAATTGAATATGGAAGCCTTCAGCTTCAACAACAAGCTAAATAGATCTTGGTAATCAAGATGAAGGGCTATACTTAAGATGATGCTCATAGAATAAAATGACTAGGCAAGAAGGTGATCTATTATCAGTAGGTTAGCTTTAAGATATAAGTTGTCCACCATAACCTCTTTTCCATCAGACCTGAATAAAAATTGGGTACTTTCAAATAATTCGATCATATATAAGATCAGCATGTGTCTCTTCCAACCTAGGGGTGAGTATTCAATCGAATCGAATAAAAAAATTTCGAGTTGACGAGTTGTATTTTATAACTCGAATTTAACTTGAAGTTTTTTTGAGTTAGCTCAAGTTTATGAAATTCGAGTTGAGTATTTGAGTTTCCATTGAAATTTAATTATAATTATTTATAGTATTATGATACGGATTAGTTCTAATTTTTCAACTTTTTCTAACCATAATATATATATATATTCATATTCTTTTTACATTATAATATTATTTAATATATCATGTACAATCTAAAATTATAAAACATATTATATTTTAAAGAATGAATTTTGAGGGTAAAGTATTGATGAAAGTATAAAGGAGTCAAGAAATTAATGAGAAGAAAGAATTTGCAAACAACTATAGTCAAAAGATCAAATTGAGTAAAATATAAAGTTAAGAGACTGAATCAAAGAAGTGTATATTTTTAGTTAAAAATATGAATCGAAGTTACATAGGTATTCTATAGTGCTATAGGAGCATGTGATTCAAATTTGATGAAAATAGGACTTAAAATAAATGATAAATTGATGAAATAAGAAAATCATGAAAAGTTGAGAGACTAAATTGAAAAATATAAAATTTGTTATGAAAAAAAGGAATTGAAATTAAATAGGTATTCTTCGATTAAAAGCATGTAGTTCAAAATTGGTAAAAATTGACTTAAAACAAAGGAGGAATTGAAAGAATAAAGAAATCATAGACTCGAAAAAAAAATTGGTTGGAGTGAGAAAAACTCGACTCAACTCGATAAATTGATTTTTTTTCAATTTTGAGCTATTCGAAACAAATCAAATTGTCAAGTCAGTTATCAAGTTCAAGTCAAGTTGAAATTTGAAAATTTTGAGTTACTCGAAAAATTAAAAATTTGGGTGAGTATTTTGATAGTTTTACAATTTAGTCCTTGATTTCTTTATTCATTTAATTCTTATTTCATTTTAAGTCTTTTTTTTAACTAAATTTGAACCAAATGTCCTAAACTATCGTAGAATACCTATGTACTTTCAATTACTCTTGTTGATAGAAAGTTTTCTATTTTTCAATTTAATCTCTTAACTTTTTATTATTTCTTCAATTCATCTTTCATCTTAAGTCCATTTTTAACCAAACTTGATCCACATGCTCCTATATCACTATAAAATACTCTATTACATTATTTAAAATATAATATTATAAATATATTTTATAATTTTAGATTGTATATGATATATTAAATAACATTATAATGTGAAAATAATATGAAGAAATATATATATATATGGTTAGAGAAAGTCACGATATTGGAACCAATTTGTACCATAATACTATAAATAATTACAATTAAATTTGCATAAAAACTCGAGCAACTCGACTCGACTAGAAAAAAATTCAACTTAAGTTCGGGTCATAAAATACGACTCATTAACTCGAATAACTCAAAATTTGTTGACTCGACTCGATTTGATCAAATGATCATCCCTACTAACAAGAAAATGGTTACATAATACGAATATAATTAAAAAAAGATTTAGCATCCGGTGTTGGTCATGAAGCAATTAACATGATGTGATACAAAAGCCCCAAGTTAGCAACAATGACACTGCTGAGGTGAAATGTGTTGTTTGGTTTGCATATTGTGGATGGATCATTTTGACTACAACAATTAGCAGGACTCAAGTTCAATGTCGTTGTAGCTACCATGTTTCATCGAATTTTTTTTCGTGCTTTCTCTGAACAGCCATTTGCAGGTAAACCTTTGGCTAATGGAAGAATGTTTTAAACAAGCCATTTTGTTTCTGAAACTAAGCTATGATGCATATGAAAGCAAATACTGCTGCAGATGTTTTGTTCTCCTTTTGTTCTTCAACTTTCGAAAGGCGCATAACTCGATTTGCCGGATCCTTTCCCTACTTACACCCATCGACTCCCCGATTTCTTGCAAAGTTTTCATCCTGCCGTCTTCCATTCCGAACCTCCATCGGATCACCTGCCTCTCCCTTGGACTCAAACTGTCCAACACCTTCTCCAGATCCTTCTTCATGAACTCCTTCAGCAAGATATCTTCTGCCGAATCTGCTTCGGGGTCCGCAATTACTTCCTGGACAAAAATTAACGTAGTCCCATCAGATGTCGAAACTAAACCAGAATGCAATAACGATGACAGGTTAAAAACGGGAAAAGGAGATAGTAATTGCTGCATATGGAATAGGACGGACCGATGGTTTAAGATTTTGGTTAATCCCAATCTTCTGATCGAGAGATCGAGGTGCCTTTGGCGTGAGTAGAACAGCAGTGAGCCTCTTCATGGACAGCCCTGTTGCCTGTGCAACTTCCTCATTGTCAGGCTGTCTTCCATTTTCACTATACAGCTGCTTTCGTGCTTCCTTCACTCGATACGTAGCCTCAACCATGTGAAACTGTAAATCATATGAATGTAACCGTCGTCGACACTTGCAAAGGGCAAGAATTTAGGACCAGAATAGTCTAGAACTTACCGGCAAGCGAATCGTTCTCGACTGATCTGAGAGAGACTTCCGTACAGCTTGCTTAATCCACCAGTGAGCATAAGTTGAGAACTTGAAGCCTTTAGAAGCATCAAACTTCTCAGCACCTCTTATAAGGCCTCGGCATCCTTCCTGTGAGTGAACCGTGCAAGATTTAGACACTTAAAGCACAAGCTAAACCTGCTATTTTGCTTGTTTTCTCTTTATTTTCTTATCCGCTGCATGCAAGAGATCACAAGCACATACCTGGACAAGATCTTGGAGATCCATTCCGGCTCCCTGATAATTTTTTGCGATCGAAATTACGAGCCGTATGTTGCTTTTAATCATTTTTTCCTTGCAAAGTGTGCCGTAATTTAAGCGCTGTCTCAGGGTCCTTCGGTCAACTCCAGCAGCAGCAGCCCACTGTGCAATGGTTGGTTGCCGTCCACATCGCTCGGCAAGCTCCTCCTGGAGGCTTTCCAGTTTCAGCAAGTCCTGAAATCATCAATAAGAGGGCAAATTTATGTACAAAACAAGGAAGACAAGCTTTATCCTAAGAAATCTTAAAGCATTCATGGCATCATCTCGATATAATATCAAAGTTAGAAAAAAATGGTGATAGATTAACTTAATACAGGAGTTGTCTCCCTAGGAGTCCTAGTTTACCTATGTGCCAGTCAATTGATCATACCTGTATTCCTTCTGACAACTTTATTTCTTCGTTAGCAGTGAGAAGCCGGGAAGTACTAGTAGTCCCTCTCAAGTAACGCAATGGATCAGAGTAGTCTATATCTTGTAAAGCACCACGCCGTTTTCTGTTGGTAGGACCGGACTTCATGGACACCATGTTGACAGAACCCTTCTTTGCTGCTCTTGTCCGTTTAGCTTTCCGTTCAGTTTGGCGCGTTGACCTCACTGCTATACTACCGGATAATTGTTCCTCAAGAAGTTTAAGTTCTTCACTTGTGGGCTCTAGCTCATCAGATTCTTTTGTAGAATTTTGCTCCGAATCTTCTTCTCCCAGTTCACATTCATCTGAGGGAGTATCTCCAACAATACCGGCCCTCTCTGCTTCGGTAAACAGAGCCCACTTGGACGTCAAAGTGTCAGTTGCAGATGACCCTGAAGGTTTCATTTCTGTTTTTGCAGAATTTTTAACCATAACAGCAGCATCCTTAGCAACCTTAGCAGCCGCTCGTGCAAGAGCTACTGCTTCAGCAGCTGCAGCAGCAATTACGGCCTCATCACTCGTAAGAAGATTTTCAGTTGCTAAAGTTGCCCCAAAGCTTGCCTGCAGATAACGAATTGTCTCACTTTTTTAATGATCACTGACAAAACAGAAATACTGAAAGAAAACACCATCTCAAACGGGTCTAAGAGCAAACCTACAGACTTCCAACTAATATGTATGATGTTCATATATAATATGAATTTTACTCGAACTTAACTTGAACTAGAGGAACGAAGAAAATATGTCTATTTTAAAAGTGCAACAGTAAACACCCCACGATTTTCCGATCAGATTCTCAACATCATATCCTCGAAACTAACAGAACTGACCTCTGAGGGTGGACCAGTTGCCCCTGTGTATGTCCATGGTCTATCTGTCACAACTGAATTGGAATGAGCCTCAAAAGATGGTAATCTTAGTTTCTGTACATCAAGCACTGTGGTTGTTGCTGTTGATGTCGATGAAGTGGTAGATACGATGCATTGGGCCCGGAAACCTGCGGATTCTTTATGTTTTGCTGCAGGTCCAGCCAAGAAATCATGAGAAAACAAACACCGCCAAATGATACCATTACCGATTACGACAACGAGCATATGAGAAACATTACAAGCCACTGAAGCTCTAACGTTTTATGTCCAATAATTATACACGTAACTACGCAAACGAAATCGTAACAAACTACAAAAGCTTTATCCAGGGAACACTTGTGATGTGGTGCTGATGAAGATACAAACATACGAACGACAAGCACCGAAGCCAACAAATATCGATCCACTAAACATTAAAGCATCAGCAAACGCGCCTATCGACATAACTTACATTGTTACGGAAGTGACAAGGCCACATTAAAGTCTTGCTTGTGTCTGATAAAGCATGGTAACTACCGTATGAAAAAACACATATCTGGTAAAATCCGATCCGAATCATCAAATAAATAAAAGGCATTTGCCACCAGACCATGTAAATTCATCAGATTAACTACTACACATCCCTCATAGTTGTAATTAAGATATGAATATTGACCTAGTGGCATTGAAATCACTAGAAAAAAACAAAGAAAAAAATCCAGTTTGAAACAAAATCCAACAATGAAGAAGCAACCTAAAACAATCACACAAAAAAACCATTTTACTTCTGAATTCTGATAAAACAAAGCCTATAGCTTTCAATCCAGTAGAAAAGGGTAACAACCACTGGTCCACTGCTAGTCCAAATTATAATTAAAAACAATGCAAACATAAGTAGCAATAGGGGTGAGCATTCGAGTTGTGGCATGTGGGACTCGACTCAAATTCGATAAACAATCCACTAATTACTAAAAATTTCGTGTTATTCGAGTTTTATTTTATAACTTTACTCAAATTTGAAATTTTTTCAAGTCTGAGTCTAGCTTCTGCAATCGCTAGTCAGTCTAAAAAATCGGTTTTCCGAATTGAGTCGTGTTTTGCTCACCCTAAGTATCAGCACTTCACCAAATTCAAAACTATTACCAAAAGCAAAGCAAACCCAGATTAGTTCTGAATCAATAAAGTCTCCAGCTTTTTCAATAAAGTTCTATAGCAACTATCGACTCAAATTCCAATTCAAACAAAAGCCAAATTTAAGTGTGAAAAACTTACAATGGTGGGAATGGTGGGTTCTGAATTGAATAGAAAAAGTATCAGGCTGACACTTGAATTGTGGCAATAAACAAGACATCCTCTCCTTCCTGCTAACAAAAGGAAAAGGATTAAATTTTTGGTTTCTTCTTCAACAACCCATTGACATGGTCCTTATGGAGAGAAGAGGGTTATCTTCTAATTCTCTCCAGGTAGTGCCAAAGGATGAAAAAAAAATATGAAGAGACTTACTGGTTCTCCTCTGGTTCTATAAGGTTAAGTGCTTGACATTCTCAACTTTCAAGAACAAGATTTCCAGAGCTGGTAAAGCAAAAGAAAGAAAGAAATAATGAATTCTTTTAAGTGAAAAAGAGAAAAGGATTCAACTTTGAAGAAAGGGTAATGGAATGGATGTATTGTGAATTTGTGATAAAGAAGAGGATAAGGGGAAGCAGCTTTGCCTGCTTGAGGTTGAGAGAGAGACAACAGACAGACCCTCTCCTCTCTCTCTTTTTCCTCTTTTTTTCAATTTTCAATTTTATTTATTATTTACTATTTACCATATCTTTGTATAATGCATTAACAATAAATTTAGTTTATTATTTCAAATAACAAAATTAGATAGAAATTAGGGAGGATATCAAAATTTTCAAATAAAGAATAGTACAAGATCTCAGTTTTACAAAAATGAAGTATTAGGACTAATTTTGAAATTTAGAAACATATGGAGACCCATAGCATATTTAAACCAATTGATAAAAAATGTATTATGATAGGTAAGTGTTAACAAATCAGCGGTCAATATGTTCTGAAATTAGCATAGACAAAAACTACCGACGTATATGTAAAATGCCTTGTGAGCCAATAACTTGCAGGTCTGCTGCAGGGATGAATCTTGTAGGCAGGAAGAAACTGGGGACCAGTCGGTTAACTTAGATTTTGTCAAATTTCTTTTTTAATCCCTTTAGTTTTTTACAAATTTAATTCTAATCTATATAATTAAAATCTAAACTATGTTAATTTATGTTTGATCTCTAAAATTTGTCAAATTTTTTTGATTTGCCTCCTTTTTATTCTATTTGTCATTTTTTCCCTTTTCCGTCTTCTCTTCTTTTTATCTTCTCAAAGTTCGATTACCGTCGATTGTTGACGACGACAATCAAAGAGTTTCATAATTTTTCACCAAATTCATTTCGCCAACCGAATAAGAATTTATTGTCCGATTAATTGGAAGACATCTCAAACTCCACAAATTTATCATTAAAAGTTCTCTCATTTCTTGTTTTTCGATCTTCGTCGTTCATCGTTGGACCGTATCGATCCTGAAGTGTATGCTTCTTTACTGTTTACTTTACCCTTCTCACTATTGGGATCATCCAACAAACTATCAAAATTTGACGAACCCAAAATAGTCGACCATCAAATCATAAACCCTTATTAATCTAGGGTAAATTATAAGGTCGTATTTGTTCAAAAACTCTCAACTCTTCAAAAATGAAGGCTCATACACTTATATATATGTGGTGTTCGAACTTGAGACCTTAAGGGATAATAACAAACCTCTTAATCACTTAAATCTCTTAATTCATGCAAAAACTAAAAACAAAAATGATAATATCTAAATTTTATAACTTTTAATAGTTGGGGGACTCAATAAAACAACATTCTATAATTATACAACTATTTTGTAAATTTTGATAATTTGAAAACTTAACAAACAATGTTCTATTGTCGAGAGAACATTTCACTTTACTCAAAATTTAATCACTCTATGTTTAGTGTACTACTTCTCCACCTTATCAATCACCACATGTTGTTAACTTACTTCTCCCAATGCATTATTTCACTTATTTGCAACATTCTGTCCTTATAAACCATATATTTACCTTGAAACATCTACGTATTGCATATATACGTATATAGGGATGGGCGTGGGACTCGAACTCAACGAGTTTCGAACCTACTCGATAAAAATTTTATATTCGGGTCGGGTTTAGGGTGAAAAATACCTGATCCGGTCCGAAAAAATATATAATTTTACCTTATATATTTAGGAATAATTACAATAATATTCATCTATATATTATTATTTTTAATTAAGTCACTGTTTTTATTGAATAATTTTTTTTTCGGGTCGAGTTTTTAAGTTATATAACAGATCGGGGTCGGGTGAAAACTTGTTTTGGTCGGGTCGGGTGGACCAAAAACCCGATTCAACCCGACTCATGTCCATCCCTAATGGTATATACTTTCTATGTATTAATAAAAATGACAAATACTGAACCCTAAGATTAGTTTCGTTGGTCGTAGGAATGACCCCGGAAAAGAATGCTAAATGAACGGGACGAAACGTAAGGAACTCTTCCTTTATAATATCATTTCTATCAACTTAAAGAAATACCAAAACAAACATGGGAGGCAAAAAGAAACACCATGCTCCACCCGGGCCCTATCCTTACCCTCTACAAGGATATCCTCCTTCCAGCGGATACCCACCAGCGACATATCCTCCTACGGGTGGATATCCACCGACCGGATATCCTCCATCAACGGCATACCCTTCTCCTAGCGCATATCCTCCGCCAGTTGTTGGTGGATATCCTCCTCCTGGCGGATATCCACCAGCCGCATATCCTCCTCCGGGACCAGTAGGACACATTCCGGCACCTTATCCACCAGCTAGTTATCCCGGTATGTTCCATTCCTATGGCTGTAACATATACAATGATGAGTCATACAACATTAAGTGGATTATGTGAATTAACAGGTGGTGGTGCATATGGGGCTCACCCCCATTACCCTCCACATGGAGCTTATGCAACACATGGGAGTTACTATGGGCATGGGCATGGTCATGGCCATGGAAAATTCAAACATGGGAAATTTAAGCATGGGAAGCATGGCAAACACGGCGGGCATAGATACAAGAAGTGGAAATAATTCCTTAAATACATACAAATATACACGTGCGTATACATACATACATACATACATATATATATATATATATATATATATATATATATATATATATGATGTCATCCCTTTTACCCTTTGCATTAGCCAGGACTCCTTGAGTTCTTTTATTCGTGTCTAGGGTTGTATTTTTGTTGTTTTTTTCATGAATTATATTTAAAAATATATATTTAAAAAAATTTAATATATTGTATATTTTTATCTTCAATCATGTTATATTTACATCATATTCTTCGTTTAATTGATTGTTTAATAGATTACTAAATTTTATCATACTCATAACGTGGTTAAACGAAAATGTTTTAAATTAAGAAAATACTTTTTTATAAAAAATTATTCAACACATAAATATAAGTAGATTAGTACATGATTTATATATAAATATATTGATCTTATGATTGATTCTCAAATTAATTATTTTATTTAAAGATTATATAAAAATAGAAAAGCATAATAATATCATTATAATAATATTTATTATTCTTTAGAATAAGAGTGTTTCAATAAATTTTTAATTTAAATTGATATAAATTAACTCATGATATTAATTCAATTAAACATTTTTATATATAATATAGATAAACATTCACTTTTACAATTCAATATTACCCATAGAAAGATATATAAAGGTGTTGCAAAGTATGAGTCCCTCATAGTATTTAAAAATGTTAACTTATGCAAAATTGAAGAATTTACGTACAAGAGATTTAAATCCATGACTTGTATCATATAATTTTATTGTCTAAAATTATTGGATATGCCTAAGGTATTGATGAAGAATATTCAAGATTTTTGTTAAAAAAATCCTAATTAAAGAAAAATATAATTTCATAACAATACTTATGGTATAATTTTTTATTTTTAATTCAAATCATATACATATAATGTTTGTGGACATCCATTTTTATCCGAGTCTAAAAAAATATTATTATTATTATTATTATTATTATTTTATTTACATTTGTTACATTGTTTTGTAGGCCTAAATTCAAGCCCAACTGAGACTCAATTACAAGGCTGAATCAGCAACCCACCAGATGACCCAACAACCCAACAGTCAACCCGAAGCCCAACTGAAACTGGAGCCTGACCCGAACCAGCCCTCGTGTGAACCCGACCCGCTAGGGTTCCCATCTTCAGCTCTAGCTACCCCAAATCTTTAGCCGTTGGATCTAATTAAGATCTAACGACCCATAAGTATTCAGGGATTAGGGTTTTCTAACCCTAATATATCAACACCAGCTCAATCGCCGCCAACACCAACTCAACCGCCGTCGCTCAAGTCGAGCCTCACTCTCGCCGACTGCCTCTGACGTCGCCATCAACAAATCTGCACCAAACAGTGCCTGAATCCATCAAACAATGAAAAAGATCAATCAACCAAGTCAGAACCAAATCAAAACCCAATAAAAAATGCAAAGAAATCTAAATAGAGATATCGAGGCACTCTTATCCTCTTATCTCATAAACACAAATAAATCACCACCAAACCCACACGCAAGATAAAAAATGAGGAAGAAAGAGAAAAAACAGAGTTGAGAGCCCATGAAAAAAAGGAAAAATGAGAGAGATTCGGGAAGAAAAAACATTAGAGAATGAGAGAGAACCGAAGGAAAAAAAATAAAAACACTTACCCTATTTGAAAAAAATGAGGGGACGAGTGGAAAAAAAGAGAAAGAGATTAAAAAAAAGAAACAATAAGAAGGGGTTCTTACCTCGGTTCGGTGTTGGAAACCCAAAGGTCACCAGAGCTCTAAGTTTTCGAAAGGTAACATCTAGATCCAGGGGTTTAGGGCGAGATTTAGGTTAAATGGGGTGGTTTTCGGATTGAGGAAGTTGAGGGGAACCTTTTGGGGATAGGTTGCTCCCTCCTACCACCGCGGGCTCTGTCGTGAGCACCACCTGTGGCGGTGACCTTTCTCTCTTCCAATGAGAGAGTTGAGAGAGTTTTAAGAACTCTCTCTCTCTTCTCTCGTTTCAAATAAAGGCAAATGAATGAGATGACCATTTTTTGCCTTTGAATATTATGTATATACTATTTACGAAACGACGTCGTTCTGGGGAGGGCCTTCAGCGTGTTTTCAGTGCATGGTTTAATTACAGTTTAGGTCCCTCCTCGCCTGTAACTTTGTGTTTTAGCCATTAATGAAACTTGTGTTGTTTTATTTCGAGCCTATATTTTTCAATGTTTTCATTTCAGTCACTAGTTTATGTATTATGCTATGTTTGATGATATTCGAATTTGACCCTGTGATTTATGTATCTTTCATTTTAGTCACTGACTTGCATTTGGTTTAATTATCATTTAGTCCTTCATGTTTCTGGTGTAATTTATTTTAGTCCTTAAACATTATTTATGGGTTATTTTCATTTCTGGTACCTATATTTGTTTAAAATAACTATTGGGGCTCTGATTTGTTCATAATTGTTATTAGGCCCTTCAAGTTTATGTTATTTTTATTTTGGTCCCTTAAATCACTGAATGAGCTTATTGGTATTGTTTGTATTTTAATCTGTAATGTTTTCTAATGTATATTTTAGTCCCTTATATTGAATATTTATTTATTTTACACATTATGTAGTTATTCATATTATATTTAATAAATATGTTTAGCTCCATTTAATGTAAATATTTTATTTCGTATATTTTCAATTACATTTATTTCCATTATATTTTTATCTATTGATGAGATATTCGAATTTTTTTTAAGAACACATATGCATAGAATGAGCGTGGAAAGCATCACTTGGTCGAAGTGGTGCGATTCGATATGACATTTTAACGACATGGGAACTTGAAATAAATTTTGTTTATTTTACTAACTAATTTTTTTATTATTCAAATGAAGCAAGGCATGTCTCTTCAAATATCAATTTATTAATATTATGCAATTTATATTCGATAAACATATTTTTCTTTAAATGTTGTCGGCTTTATGAGGGAATATTCTTTACAGATCAGAAATAGACGTGATAGCTTTCCCGATGGAGTATTGCTTATCTCGAGATTTCTTTTTAAGTTAAAGAATTTTCTCTAGCTAATTAATTTGAAGCAAATTAAATTACCTTTAATAAATGGATCATATTTTAATTACGATAAGAATTCAAAATTTCCACCATTACGACAAGGTGTAAGCGAAACAGTATTAATTTTGGGCGTTGTGGGGGTGCTTATCCTTCCCCACGCGTAATCGATTCCCGAACCCATCAAATCGGTTTTTGGTAAACGCAAACCGCATTTTGTTTTAAAAAATGTTTTTTCTTAAAATTGTTTTAAAAGACGTTTTTAGGTATTCGACCTACCTAACCCAAAGGTCGATAGCGACTCCCTTTTCCCTTTAATTCAAATCAATTCAAAATCCTCCAATTTTTCAAATAAAAGTCATAATTGTTTTTTAAAAATAATATTAAATTGTTTTTTTTTATCAAAAAATGATTATGACAATATTTACACTAATATTTCGTATGAATTGTCAAAATGTGTGAAAGTAATAAGATCTAAGTATACAAACACTAATGCAACTTGAGAGAAGATGATTTAAATGCCTTGGATGCAAAGAATGAAGATATCTACCTTCGATGATGAGTGCATTATTGTTCGGGTCATCTATATTAAAATCTTTGATCTCAGACACCATCAAATCACCAACTTTCTAATATTTGTCATGTTGATAAGATCCTTTAGATAACAATTCTTGGTTCTTGATCTTTAAGGTTGCAACATCTCTATCACAGACTTGAATCATATACTTCTTGACAAGTAAGATTAAATAATCTTCTACAACGTCTTTTGCAATTTCCCCATTATCTCTTCCTTATTTTGGTGAAACAATACTTTCAATGACCAATAATTTGATAAGCCTACCTATATGAATCTATTAATACTCAGGAAAATAGGTTGAATAAAGAAAATATGACCTTACATAAGGAGACAAATCATCATAACTCAATGTTAATACATTTTTTTATGCTGATCTTCAAGTACGATTTAAAATTTACATATTTTCATGATGATTTTTTTCGAAGCATATATGGAATACATTTAAAAATTAGAATTGAGAATCGAAATTTTAGAAAAGATTTGAAACATTTGGAGTCGCACTTGCAATAATAAAAACTATCACACATATTTATAGAATTTAGTAGTAATTGGATTGGCGATACATGTCAACATCTTAATCATATTAGACTTACAAGTACCTAGATTATTCTATGGATAATTCTAGACATAATATTAAATCTTATAAATATTTAATTTTTTATGAATATTTTTATACATATATATTAATATTATTTTTAAATAAATATATAAATAATTATTAAGAATTATCTATAAAGAAGGAAATGGATGAATATTTAACATGCTAGCTTTACTAGTTAACTTAATAACCGAAAAGGATCATGTATATGCAGGACAGTGCCGCGATACCGGTTGAAGGACAAAATATAATTGATCAATAAAATGAGAGAACAAAATATAATTAATCATAGAAAATGAGGAGGCATAGAAAATTTGAAGGTCTAATTTAATATTTATCCACATATATTTTTAAATTATAAAAAAATAGAGAGTCAATAGCCTCCTGGGCCGAAGCATAACTTTATCCTATGCTTCGACCCTGTATATATGCGCACAAAAACACGCTAAAGATATCCAATTCAGACCGTCGTTAATATTTTAACGGAAAATGAGGACTCAACAAAGTAACTTCTTATAATCGAAAACTAATTTATAACTTTTAATAATTGAGACTAAACAAAACAATATCATATATTATTTGTATTCTTTTCCTTATAATTTAACCATATTATTCATGTATCATTTAAATCTATAGATTTTTTAAAACCCAAAAAGTACAGATTAAATTGACCTAATTAAAGTAACTAAATATACTATTTACATATAGCACAGGGAGTAGTGACGGAATTTAACCGAAACCATATAAATATTTCGAAACAGCGAAAACAACACGGTCTTTTTTGTTTACCTACGTTAAGCATTTAGGCCCACACGGTGAGGTTCAGCTCCCAACCCACCACCATCATCAAATTCGTCAGAAAAATTATAAATATTCTTCAAATTCAGCTTTCCAAATCTTAACAAAGATTTCCAGAAAGAAAACGCTGCAGATTTTTGCACACTTTCACATCTTTTTTCTCCGATAATTAGTATTTGATTTAATTTTTTCTGGGTTTCAATCTCCCCATTTTCTTCTTCTTATTGTTGTTGTTTTGAATGTTATTTCTTTTATATTTGTTTTACAATTCAAATCCCAAAATGGGTTCTTGTTCTTCTCTTTTTTTGTTGTTTTATATCACTGCTATCTATTCAATAAGCTGCGCTTTTGGCTCTCCTATTTGCTCCCACGAATCCGATGTGTTCATAAAAAATCTTAGCTTCCAATGCTCTCCTACGATCTCTCCAATTCCTCCTCTCGAGGTATGTTTTTCTCGTATCAATTTATTGTGGAATTCTTATTTCTTGATTTTTAGATTGTTTTTTTCTTGGTATTTGTGATTTTTTCTAATGGAATTTGTGGCTCATTTGCTGTTAAATGATGAAGAAACAAGCGGAAATGAAATAGTAAAATTTATTAGCCTTTCATTCTATAGCATTAGTCATGTTTAAGGGCTATGATTATTTATTTTCTTGCTGAAGATTTAGAATTGAGATACTATTATACATTTCAAAAGCATGATCAGTGAGCATCCAGCATTTAAGACTACCATGGGCCAAATGGCTATGTCAAAGTAATAGAGATGCACCTCAAGTATTATATTTTAAGATTTAAGCTTTATGCAATTCAGCTCGAATAAGCCGTATTAGAGGAGATCACTCGGTTTCCTAAAGCTTTGATTGAAGATATGAAACATTGAATTTGTTTGATTTAGTGGCATCCTTGTAGCTCTTTGGCAGATGCATTAGTTTGATTAGATTGTGGCTAGAAAGGAATCGAAATGGCTCGATTACTGTGAATGTAATTTTTCTTTTAGCTTTTTATGGTTGGATCTTGACTTTCTTTATAAATGAACGAAAATGTTGTAACTTAGTACATGCCCTAATATGCCAGTTTTAGAAAACATATGCATTGATGTCCATGAATCAAAAGTCAAATCATGGCATACCCATCCTCTTGTTTCTGCTTTCACAAGCATTTTATGGGATATAATTTGAAATGAGTGGTCGTTCGAGCATGTATCTTCCTAGTTTCTTAAGTTGAACCTGTGCAAGCAGCATTCAATCGTATGTGTAATGTATGCACCCATCAAAAGCATTATGTTCCCCAACCTGAAGTTCTTGATTGTATGTTAGCGTTAACGATTTCTGTGTTCAACTCAAAGTATTGGAAAGAAAGCTGAAAGATTCAAGTTAACCATCACTAAAGTTGGTATTGTTTAAAACAAAATTCATTTTTTTAGAAAAGTGTGCATTTTCTAAGATCATTTTGCCATCGGATTGTAGTTATTTTCTAGGTTTTATAATTTACATCTCTTTCAGTATTTTAACGGCAAACAGTATGATATGTATATGTGCATATATATATATATATATATATTCATTTTGTTTGCAGGTGGACAGCAACTTCTTGGCCAGAGCATTGACTTCCAAACAGAGAAATGGTTACGCTTCCGTGCTCTTTTATGCTTCCTGGTGCCCATTTTCACGCAGCATGCGTCCAAAATTTGACATTCTCAGTTCCATGTTTCCTCAATTGGAACATCTGGCAGTTGAAGAGTCTTCAGCTTCACCAAGGTGCGTAGCTACTCAGATTGCTTTCATGCTGGTGTTTGTGCACGTTGAATTCTTTTTATCATGTTACTTGTATGTTCTCGACTACAAAGGTTGTCAAACCTTAACATGGACATATTCTCGGATAATGCTATGCGGAGTAATAATTTTAGCAGTTAGAATTGAACCACATGTAGTGTTTACTATGTCCAACATATAGTCGGATAATTGATTATCCTTTTACGAAGAATCCATATGAAGGTGACCTTGCTTCATTATTCGTGCATGATAGAGGATTATCGATCAAACAAACTGTTCTTTTGCGGTCCCTTTGAATCTAATTAAAAAGTTCAAAACTAACACCTTTGGCATTTGTTGTATCACAGTATATTTTCAAGGTACGGAATTCATAGCTTGCCGTCAATCTTAATTGTGAACCAGACATCAAGTATACGATATCGTGGTCCAAAAGGTCTCTCCTCAATTGTACTATTTTACGAGAAAACAGCAGGTACTTACTCTCCTATGCGAGTTCCTTGTATTGAAGCCTAGCTTGTAAGTTGAATGCAATTACATGTTTCTTAACACCAGTGTTTGCTTTTCAGGATTTGAACCCGTTCAATATGTTTCTGAGGACGAACCGGTCGCATCAGGAGACGACAGTAAATATGTGATACAACTGTGGAACGAGGCATTCTCAACAGAGATAGTAAAAAGGGACCCCTACTTAGCCTTTTCCGTGTTGTTTCTATGTTTAAGACTACTTCTATCAATATTCCCCAAAGTACTATCTCGTCTCAAAACAATCTGGGTTTCGTATTCTCTACATTTGAACTTGGAAATATTCGGCGAGACAAGTCAGCTGTTTGCACGAGCCCTTCACATGGTCGACGTGAGGAGAGTTTGGACCAAGTTGAGGCTATGCAAAGCCAGGAACTTTCACCAAGGCGCACAGAGCGCCCGTGTTTGGGCCTCTTCAATGGCTTCGGTCTCTTTGGGAAGATCTTCTTCAGGTAGATCCTCATCCCAGTCCTAGTTTGTTGGAAGAACTCCTGGATCAGACTGTATTACAAACCAATGCAAAGCTTCGGTACGTTAAGTCCTCTCTTGCGCGCACACGTTGAATGTCGAATTCTATTGATAGTGTTGAAACTTGATATGCATGTTTCGAGTTGGGGGTTGATTTTCTGGGAGGAAACCAACTAGAGCTAGCATATAAATCTGGGAATCAGCCTTTTCTTTCTTTTTCCCTTGTATGTGTATATGTACTTTGCAGATCAGTGGAATGTGTAAGCTTTACTTGAAGCATTTTTCTCTCAATTATTAAAATACACTTCACTTTACCGTGATTTTCTATATAGGGTAAACTACCTATTTACTTATTTACTTATTGATGGAATAAAATTAATGAAAAATAATAAAAGAATATATGTTTGAATCGTGTTAATTTTTTAACTGTGAGTGACCAAAACAGAAATGAAATGCTTTATTTTAAACTATTTTCATTAAACGATGTACAACGTGTGTATGTGTGTATTTTTTTTATAAAATAAACTTATTATATTATAATTAATTTTTCATTCAATTTAATTTTTATTTTTTTATTAAACTGGGGTAAGTACATGGCTCTCAACAGTTGAACATTAAATCCTCGTACCTCTGGCATTCTTATTGCTCGAATTCGGGACCTCAAAGAATAATAACATTTTCATTTCCACTTGGGGGCGTTTGGTTCAGGGTATCTCACATTACCAGGGGAATTGAATGTTATTTCCCCGTTTGGTTGGCAAACATTTCCAGCCCCCGGTAATAAGTTATTCCAACAATAGTGTTTTGGGGGTATATTATCGGGAATGTGATTACTCCATTCCTTTAGGTATTGTTACATTCTCGACGTTTTGGACTAAAATGCCATTAATTTTTTTTTCAAAAATATCCTTCTGTCGTTGAATAAAAAAATTCTACGAAGGTTAATTTACAAATTTATCCTTAAACTATATTAAATTTACAAAAAAAAATCCATAATTAGAATTTTATATGAAGTTTAGGGGTTAAAATAAAACTTTACCCTTTCATTAAATCTATTTATCTTTTCAAATTTGTAAAAAAATATATAAATTTTATGAATTTAATTTTTTTAAAGAAAATATATAAATTAATTATAGTAAAATTCAACTTGTTAAAAAAATAAATATGTAATAAGGATAATTTGGTAAAATATATATTCCAATAATATTTTATTCCTTTAACGAAACACTGTAATATTACATTCCTGCTAAACGAACCAAACACAAAATACAACATTCCCAGTAATCTTATTCTCACGGGTAATCTTACATTCCCAGTAATCTTATTCTCACCGGTAATCTAATATTCCGTGAACCAAATGCATCGTTAGTGTCCAGGACACTTGGGTTGTGCATATCCCTAAAAGATTTAAATATAAGTTGGCATAATAATAAAATTATATTTTAATCCCTAAAAGTTATAATTTTTAACAATTTCATACAATGGCATCTCTTTAAAATTGTCTCCATGAAATGAACATGTGTCCTTTGTTCCTTCCCCCACAATCTGCCGTATCTTAGCCACATAAACCGTTCCTCTGTGACTTTTACTACAATTATTATCAACCATAACATTGTTTTTTCAATCAAAATTCTCACCCAAAATGCTCAGATTTGTTCACAATTGAGTCACTCTTTCTCCTCCTCTGTCCATCCACAACAATTCACACATGATGAACCATTTCAATCCCTGTAAAACATGTTATACGTTGTTGTTTCTTCTCTCGATCATCCCGTTTTCGTTTTCCGAGATCAAGAACACTCGGGTTCTGGATGATTATCGGACGATGATCTTATTCGAGAGCTTCGGATTCGGTAAACACGGCCATGTATCGATCTCGGTGACCAACGTTTCGTTGGCGGCGAGGCACGGAAACACGAAATTCAACCCTTCTTTGATGGGGTTCTTCGTTGCGGACGTCCCTTCGTTCCGAAGTATTTGGAACTATTCGATGCATGATAGAACATTTTGCGTTTTAACGAGTCGGTATGCGAAGCTCATATTCAAGTTTGATAACCTTAAACCGGACTCGACGTACACCGGTTCGATCGAAATTGGTGAACCGAACGAATACAATTTGGTGTTCGGGAACTGTCAGCCGGACGTCGAAGTATCGATGCACGTTCATACGGAGATGTACAACCTTAAAGATGGCGAAAAAGATTTCTTGTCGGCCGGAAAAACGCCGTTGCCGAAGTTTTATTTTCTCTTGTTTTTAGTATATGCAGCGTTTTTCATTGTATGGGTCATTGCATGTAAGAACGAATGGCCTAGGGTTGAGAAGATACATATGATAATGGGTGCATTGCTTCTTTCCAAGTGCCTAAAAATGATATGTGCCTCCGAAGACACGACTTATGTCCGAAATACCGGCACCCCCCACGGTTGGGACGTCGCGTTTTACGTGTTCGGATTCTTCAAAGGCATCATGTTGTTCACCGTAATCATCTTAATCGGCACCGGCTGGTCGATACTCAAACCCTACCTCCAGGAACGAGAGAAACAAGTCCTGAAGACGGTGATCCCGTTACAAGTCCTTGAGAACATTGTATACGTCGTGATAAACGAGACCGGTCCGGCGACGAGGGATTGGATGACGTGGAACCAATTGTTCCTATTGATCGACATCGCGTGTTGTTGCGTCGTGTTCTTCCCGATCATCTGGTCGATCCGGAGCCTGAAAGAGGCGTCGAAACGGGACGGAAAAGCCGCTAAAAACCTCGAGAAACTCACACTCTTCAAGCAGTTCTACATAGTGGTGATAGTCTACTTGTATTTCACTAGAATCGTGGTGTCCGCCATTGGAGCATTCTTGAATTACAGGTTCGCGTGGCTGGTCACTGTGCTGGAAGAAGGCGCCAGCTTGGTTTTCTATGGGTTTATTTTCTATAATTTTCAGCCGACGGAGAAGAATCCATATCTGGTGGTTAATGATGAGGAAGAAGAGAATGCAGCTGCTCAAATGATGGAAGAAGACGATGATGATCCATTTGAACTATAGTGTGTGGTGGTGGGGATTTTGTTTCAAGACTAGATTTGTAATAATCTTGAATTAAAACTAATTAGGGTTTTGTTTTCTATGTCAATTCAAGAGAGAGAATTATATTTTTTATAAACAATCTGAGCATATATCATCAATTTGCAAACCATTTTTGTAAAAAAAAACTAATACTTTTATGATATTTTTTTTATATTTATCGTTTGATATATTCAATTTATTGATTAATTAATTTAAAATTGTGTATTGTCAAATTTTATTATATAGAATAAACTTTTTGACCTAGTCTCAAGACTTATTTTCACCGTCGACATCATTAATGTCATTGAATATCCTCCAAATATTTATAAATCTTAAATCCTTAAATTTTATATATCTAAATTCCTAATCTCAATGTCAATTATTGTTGTTGTATGTTACCGTCGTCGTCGAATGTCCACCCATTATCAAACCTCCACTATCAATCAATAATGAATAATTCGACAATGAAATATGAAATCTAAGGATTTAAACTTAGGAATTTGGGGATTATAGAATTTTGAATAATTTAAGGATTTTAGGGGAGTTTTTAGAAAATTTATGATTTTGGTTTATATTTTAAAAAATAAAATTAAAGGGAAATTAAAAAGCATGTTATATGTCAAGTACTGACTGGATAATAGATTTTTTAATGACCGTTAACGGTCAGGCATTTGGATTGATCAGAGAAAATTTTAGTCATCTAAAATCAATAAGAGATATTTTTGACACTTAAGTTTTAATTAAGCCTTTAAATTAATCTTCAAACCTTAAAATATTTTATATCAGTTCTTAAAATATGATTCTCACTCTAAATTAAACTTTAAACTTTGAAAAAATTATATTAGTCCTCAAACTATCAGTATCATCTCATTTAGATCATTTCTCTAATGTGACATTAACTTTACTAGTTAGAAAAATATCTTAGGAATTGAACATTTGACCTTCTATAACTTTATCAGGACCTTCAAAATCAAATTAAATTTGCTTTAGACATTCAAAAACATATTAACTTTTTAGAAGATCACATGTTCAATTTCCAATACTTTCAATAATCAGTAGAGTTAATGTCCCATTAATAGAAGGATTAAAGTATTAATAATTTGAGGAATGATATAGAATGCTTTAAAGTTTAAGGATCAATTTAGAATGAGTCGGAAAATGATTTTTTTTAATTAGAGACTAATTTAAAATAGAATCATAGTTTAGGGTCTTCCTGTACAATTATCTCAATTTATTAGGATATGCAAGTAGAGATTTTGAAGCTACAATCACAAGGAGTAGTCGATGCATATACATACATGTAAATACAATTATTTTAATCAAAATATAATATATAAATGAAATCATAATTATAAAAATATATCTATATAATTAAAATCAAAATTTTATCAAAAAAAAATTAAAATTAATCATTATAAAATATAAATAAAATAAAATTCACGTATGATAAAGTTAAAATGAATCATTAATCATCCACGGAGCTCAAGTTACAAACTTAGATTACTACCACCTCCATGCTTCTTCTTATTTTTCTTCTTATCACCACCGCCGCCGCCGGCGTAAGTGATCGAAATCTCACATCCCAAAATCTTAATCAACTTCTTATTACCTTCACCCTTCTTCCCCTTCGGTTTCATGTTCTGGTCCGAAGCGCCGATGATCGACCCAGCTGGACATTTCATCGCCCGCCTCTCTGCCTCTTCTTTTTCTTTCTCTTTCTTGGTCCATTCTTTTATTTCCGTTGCTTCTTCAATTTGATTATCAGCTTGTGGGTTATACAACCCGTTCGCGATCGCCGCCGCCACGACTGACGCAGACGGTCCTATGTCGGAGTTGCAAAGCGAGCCCCCGTTCACCATGCTGCCGCTATGGCCTTCCGGTATTAACTTGAGGCAAACTTCCATGTTGAGGATCCCTTTCGTCTTCCCCTTGGGACGGCGCAATTGAACTGCAACGGTACCGGTGGTATAGGCCACCGTGGCCGGTAACTCGAGGATATCATTCAAGGGGACGTTAACGTATGCTATCGTAGCGTCTTTATCCCATCCAGCCGCGCAAACCTCGACGGAAATGGCGGCGTCATCGGAGTTAAGGAACTTTTCATCGGCTAGGAACGTGAACTTGTGGTTCCATGCCGGGTTTTTTCCGCCGGTCTGGTCTACATTCGTGGCCTGCCTGTTGCTTTCGTCGTGTTGGAGCCAAACGACGGCGTAGGTCTTCATGTGTTTGGAGACCGAGTGTAGGTCTTGGGCGGAGACGAGAGTGACATCGAGAATCCCGGAAGATGTCGAAGTCATTTTTTCGTCGGCGGAGGAGCGGGATGATGACGGAGAAACCTCCCAAACCTGCGCTAGTCGAGCCAACGACGACAATTGAACTGAAAGGTCTTATGACCATGAAAGATTGAGGGAAGTAAAACGAGGGGACATTAATGGAGGATTCTTTACGAGAAATTGTAGGATAGTTTGTTAATTTCCATTGTTTTTCTTATCATTTTTCTTATTTTTGGATAATTTGTTGATTTTTTTTTCAATTTATGAGTCAAAGTTTGCTTAAATTAAATCTTTGTTAATGGTTAAAAATATTAAGTCAAATAAACGTGGAATTATGACTCATTTTAAATTAATTTCTAAAATTTTAAGTATTTTAATTTCATCTATAAATTGTGAATTTCATTTTAATTAATCCTCAAACGTTTATATGTTTCAATTTCATCTCCAAATTATGACCCTTAATCTAAACTAATCTCTAAACTTTTGAATATTTCAATTTTATCTCACACTATCGATATATGATCATTTGATCTCCTGATAATAAAACTGTTAAGCTAAGCTATATTATTATATGTTCCAAAAAAATAAAATTTAGGTTAAATTATGATTGAAACTAATTATATATTTAGATAAATATGAGGATGAAATTGGAATATTCAAAAGTTTGAGGATCAATTTAAAATAAAAATCATATTTTAGGGATGAAATTGGAACATCTAAAAGTTTAAGAGTTACTTTAGGATTGGGCCATAGTTTGAGGATGAAATTGAAACATACAAACGTTTGAAGACCAATTTAAAATGAAAGTTATAATTTAAGGACACATGGTGTAATTAACTCAAATATATTAATCATATTTGGTAAACTACTTATGAAGTCATCCAACTATTCTCACAACTCCGATTTGGTCACTCAAGTATTTTTTTAAAATCATATCTAAAATTATATTTTGGTCACTTACCATTAAAAAATTAACAGTAATATTGACGTGTCACCATAGGATAATATCATATCACCGTTGATTTTATTAATTTCAATGAAGCACTTTACTTATTACATGAATAGTGTCTTCAAGCACATGAGATTTCCAACTCTTCCAAGTGTTCATTGATCAACTGTTACCAAATGTGTCTTAGTTGCCATTTTCCTCTTGCAGTCCTGAGAAAACTTGCTGCAACATTCAAAGAAGAATAGGTGAACACTATAGTAAGTTCATGAAAAAAATCATGAACACTTATGTTATTCGGACTCCGACCCGAGTACGAGCCCGAGTACGAGTACGTCTCTCGTATTAGTACACCTATTTTTTAAAAAATACATTCACATATTTAGTGGTTCGTTTACATTTGAATTGATCACCTGAAAGCGTGACAATGTGTACTGCACATCACTTGATGAAATTTGGTGGTGAAGGACAATTCTCATCCTGAATGACCAAAAAGAACAAAGGAGACAACCGTTAGAAAGTCCGATAACCGAAGTCTATGTTAACTCGACTCTTTATTTCGTCTAAAATATACGTCTTCGACGTAAGTTCGGACAGATATACGACGGTATGATCCTTGAAACAAAGTGAGCATGTAATCCTTTGTTCTTGCATGTTCACCGGAATAAGCAACATCCTGGGTGATACTTGAGGGAGTACACTGACCTGTATGGACCCCGTGGCATCACAAACACGCCATGTTCCGCTAAATGCTCGGATAGTTTCTCTGCAGTGATTTCCGATCCCTTCACTATGTCGAAGACTATCTGGTAACATAAACGTAATTAGAAGATTATAAGCTTGGTAGCCGTTATAGCAACTCTATTACTCGATAAACCGAATCGGAACTCGAACTGTGGAACCTGATTTGGATTGTGTTAGCAAAGGGGCACATTGCCATTAATGTAAGTTCAATAACTAGATTACTCACAATATTGGTTTCCACCGAAGCAACGTTCACTCTTAGGCCTTTGATTTGATTTAGTCCCTCTGAAACCATATAAACCGGCACAAAGTCGATGAGTTTATAGGTAAGTTCGAGGACAGAAAGCACCCGATAGAGGTAATGGAGGCTCTTCCGGACCGTAAAATTCGATGTATATAATCAAAGAAACCAATAGTTTTACCTGCTAAAAACTTTGCATTCTTGTGATCATGCTCAAGCTTTCCGAGATTCTCTTGCAAAGCAACCAATGCAGCGGCACAAATGAAACCGACCTGCCTCATCCCGCCACCTAAGGTTTTCCGAAGTATTCTAGCCTAAAATACAAAGAAGGAAAACGGATTTCGATGACAATTTTTCATAAATTGCAGAGAAATTTTAGCTGCAGAAGTTTGTTTTTTTACCTTGGCAATAAAGGTTTTCGAGCCAACGATGACTGATCCGACCGGAGCGCCCAGACCTTTTGATAGACATGCCTAACACATCGAAAATCGACAGAGAAAAAAAGAAACTCCCTTGATACATAACAACACCAGATTGCAAAATGAGATTAAATAACCAACAATGTTGACACGAAGAGCATACTGAGACTGAATCGGCAGCTTGTACAAGCCTATCTACCGGAACTCCGAGTGCCTGGCGGACGAACGCTTTGGTTAGGTACTTGGAAACAGGACAATTGTCACATAAACTTTAATTATGCAGACATACACACAGATCGAAGGCTAATTATACGAAATGTACAGAGACTAAGTTACCACAGATGCATTGAAAATACGAGCCCCGTCAATGTGAAGCTTCAAACCATGCTTCTTAGCTAGCTCGCCGACTCTGTCTATGTACTCCACGGGCAAGCATCTACCCCCGGTGCTGCATTAAGTAGAAGAAAACTTTTAATGATGTTAACGAGCGATGAAAAGGGAGAAACGAATCGATGAAGAACTTCGACAGACATCAGTTTCATCCTATAGAACTTAGGCAGAATCCGGAGCATCAATACGGACATTACACGCATATACTCGAAAACCAGCCCCGACACTCCGTCATCCGATAAAAGATTGTGGACACAACATGGAGTATGGACATAGAAAACATACTGAAACGGAACGATTTGAATGCATATGTTATCATTGTCAAACAGAAACAAAAAGGAGAGCCATAATCTTACTTCCCATGCGGACTCTCCAAGCAAATCAGCCTTGTAGTCGGGTACACAAGCTCTCCTTTTGGGTCTCGAATGGCGGCTTCAATTGAATTGATGTCCATCGTTCCGTCTTCGTTGTTCTTCACCGGCCTTGGATGCACTCCCCCTATTGTCGAAATACCACCATTCTCAGAGATATGTATATGTGAACTGTCTCCGAGAATGACTTCGCTTCCCCTAATATCACAATGAACCAGAACACTAACGAGGTTACTCATGGTGGTCGACGGGACAAATAGACCGGCCTCCTTGCCTAACATCCTCGCCACTTCCGATTCTAACCGGAAGGCAGTCGGATCAGTACCCAAGACATCATCATCAACTTCAGCAGCTGCCATTGCAGCCTTCATTGCCTCGGTTGGTTTAGTGACCGAATCAGATCGAAGATCAACCGTTCTCATCGCCATGTTCTCTGAAACCAATCCCGGAACGAAAACTAGTCTATACCCCCACCAAAGTAGTTCAAAACAACCCTGAAAACATTTATTTTGCCTGCATAACATTCCGAAAGTCGAATCCGAACTTAATCGAATATCATCTCGTAAGCATGACTACGTGATCAAACTATACTAAGCTCGAATTCATGAAAGAATCCATTGAAGAATATGCACATGCATTCATGTACTCATGCGTATTAAAATAAATAATAGAGAAAGAAAGGGCCATGTTTTACCTGTTTCAAACTTTCTGCAGATTCCCTTCACTGAAACAATCGACAAAGCTCCTTGTTTCTGCAAAAAATGGAAAATCATTTCAACAAAAAAACCAACAAATTTCCATTTTAGAACAAAGAAATACAATAAATAAAACTACAAGCAAGAGATAATAAACTTTTCCACCTCAATGATCATGAGATTATAGCTTAAACCCTCAGAACCTTACCCTTTATAGCAAAATTCAACCAAATTGCTCTAAGCAACACGACAATATTAATAGACCAACTTGACATTAAATATTAATGTAATAACTTTGAATAATTATCGAGATGTCCCTCCATCCATAAACAGGAGGAAAATGCACGCACCAAGTTAATAACAACGTTGCAAGCACGTACGAAGTTAAGAGCAACGATATCAATCAAGCTAAAACTCGATCGGCTCCATCTTAATTGAAATCTTAATATATATACTCACGTGAGCTTCTTGCTTGTATGATGAGTAACCTTAAAGGCTGAACTTGTTGAAATTTAGCATTCAAAGTTCCTTTTTTTATACGTTTCTCTTATACACATGAGCTTCTTGCTTGTATGATGAGTAACCTTAAAGGCTGAACTTGTTGAAATTTCACATTCAAATTTACTTTTTTTCTACGTTTCTCTTATAAATGAGTTTTTTTTGGTTCTTTGTTTGATGTTTGTTTCCCGAGAAAGAATCCACCATTTATAAATTAGTGGGACGGTTTAGCTTTTGTCTTTATCCTTAATTTGTTTATTTAAAGATGGGGGACAAGGCTATGGTGGAACTCTGCTGTCAGTTGGAATTGTTTATCGATTCAACTGGTTTTATTATGGACTAAATATCGATTTTAACGAACTAATCGTAAACCATCAGCTTTGGATTCAACCGATACGATATCATTTTCTTAAGGATCACCCTTCTCACATCAACTTTCGATCGCTCGACGTCTGTTGGCTCCAATTTCCGATCATTCATCGAACCCCACTCAGGAGTGTGCGGCAACGTTCACACACACACAGTCGCTCGTCATGTTGTAAGTGGTCAATGAGAGATATGCGACTGGCACGAAGAGACGATGAGAGATATGTTGTAAGGGCTCGTCACCTATAGTACGACGCCATAATGTATAGCGAAACTGCTGATGCGGCGGTCACTATGAGCTCCTGCACATGAACGTTCATCACTTGGCATGGTTGGAAGCAAATGAGGCAGGCCCCGGTATCGAGCAAATGGTATGTTACTCGGATTTTGGGGTATCGGATACAGGTATGTTCATCCCTGTACCCATGTCTAAACATGGGTTAGATATCAGTTCAATGATGTTACCTGGTTATTGTAGAGAAAAAGGGGTATATAACCGCCGATGTACTCGATCAAATTCAAAACACCTGTGTATGCCTGCAAGAATACAATCAAAATGTCATCGACGATGCTACAAATAGGAGAAATGAAGTTGAATGTGATGCCACAATCAATATCGTATAACTTTATCGAGGATGGAATTCGAAGTTGAGCAACATCTCGTACCAGAGAGGCCAAAGCAATACAACTGAAAACTAGCACGAGAGAACGGAGAAGTCTTTTTCCCATTCGGATGCCCCGCCCATCATCTTCACCTTCTTCCTGTAGTCGATATCAAAATTCAATAATCAAGAACTTTAAGAAACGAAAGTGATGATCAAAGTCAGTACAAGATCCTCATTATATGACATCACTATAAAACACGAATTAAGCTCTTTAAATTGACTCACCGTAAATGTCGGTGATACAGGTGGTTCAAAAAAAAATCGATAAACGAATGCAAAAGCCAAAAACTGCAACGGTTTATATTCAGCATTGCGCTTGATTAAAATCCAAGCTGTCTGCAAAGAAACGAGAGAAAAATGGGGTGAAAGAAAATGTGAGTGATGGGACCACACCATAGCTGCTACACTTTTTTGATATTAGCCATATGCCTGAATTGATGATTTAGAAGCAGAAACATGTACTAAATCGATGCAATAAGGATGCTAGGGATGCATCATACTTACAAATGCAGCGGAAATTGCCAAGTTGATGCGCATATCTTAATCGCTAGCCTTCGAGAACCATAAGCACATTGTAATTCCACACAAGAGTATGTATGACTACCAGACTTTGAAATACCACTAAAGGAGTCGTAACTCGTAACCAATACTAGCATTAAGACCGAGCCAAAACAAATTTGAGTTCTCGCTACCTTAACTTATCAAAAACTATAAAGGAACTTCACAAAATTTTCAATATAATATTCCGCCCGTAAAATGCGGGATGACTATCATCTTTCATGCCCCGCCACTCGAACTTGGGTGTGTGTTGGATATGGATGTGTACAACACAGGTATGTTCGATTTTATTTCAAGTTTTTCCATGTATCAAGCAAACAACATGAGACAGTCTATTACAGAAATTTTCTACTTATGGGTAGTTACGAAACCTTGGCCCCCATGGTACAATCGGCTGCTTATCCGCATATTTCGCATCCTTCGAAACCTAAAAAAATAAAACCAACCAGGTTTCACATCAACATGGTTGCTTAACCATGTTATCCGAAGCATGAAAACCGAATATGTAATCCGGTTTTTACAAATCAGACAAGGGTATTACATTAAGGATTGTCAACTACGTACCTTAAACGAACCATATGTTACACCCTTCTTCTGATTCATTAATTGTGCCATCATGAGTTTGTCATATGCTTTTTCAAGCTGGAAAACATGTATTAGCAAACGGTAAGTACCCCAAAAGTAGGCAGAATCTCTATATCCAGATTTTCGTAATGGAAATTCAATATATAACGAGGTGGACGTTCTTTCTCAACAAGTGCATCGCTTCAATTTTAAGAGAGTCGTAACCTACAAGTTCAGCAGTAGCCTCATCACCTCTCTTGTCAGCTTCTTTGCGTTTTCTTGTGTATACTTGCTTGACCTTTTCAAATCCCTCGATAGGGCTCACACCAAGGACCTGAAAACATACAAGCATTTGGAATACTCATCAATCCGGTCACTAATAACTCGGTACTATGTTCTCCGAATCAACCAAACAGAAAGAGTTCAAAGTTCGGGTTCAAGTCACCGTCGGGATTAGAACTTCCCACTGCAGATGAGGCAGCATAGATCACGATTTTATTCTTCGGAAAAGAAAATCTCTGGGGAAACCTGATCGATTCGAGAACTTATCACAAACGGTAAACACTTGTAGCAAAAAGAAAACCAAACAAGTTAAAATTCAATTACCACATGCTGGTAATAACGCTCTGCCGTACTAGTACTCGGGTTTAAGTGTTTGATACAAGTATATATCCGAAATAGTTATATTCAACTTTTCTAAGTTCTACCATGTATTCAGAGGATCTCGGTGTTCATATCCCAAATCTAGATATGCATCAGATACCGGTTCTCGACATTAGAACTTCAAGAAAAATGAAAAGCCGGAACAACATAGATGACCTTATTACATGATGCTCTACATGCTTGTTGTTCAAAGTAATTCTAAATTTCCTAAGCCAGCAATGAGCAAACAAACACAGCTTATACAGTATATATATATATATATTAAAAATGCTAACTTGCTTTACTTTTCAAATTCGGTATTCAATTTAAACAACACAAAAAAACAGAAATAAATCGAAACAAATGAACAGCAGTTTAAATCATTAGTATTATCTCAAGAGCTTCATAAAAAATCAGCTTATTTTATATGAAGAGTAATTCCATCCTTGTAGGCTAAATTCAGTTAAATTTCACTCACTGCCCAATACGACATCAAAACCAAAGCTTTCCTCCTTTTCCCCTTTCTTTTCCTTCCCGTTTCCTCTATTTTCTCAGAAACCAAACACCAAAAATCTAACAAAACAGAAGACAACTGAAAGGAGGCTAGTATAAGCATTAGCTGAGATAGGAAGATGATAGATTGGGGACTGAATAGTTGTGGATAGAATTTGGTGGTGAAATTCTGGGTTTTGGGCAGTGAAGAACATTAGAGATCGTCAATGCCATTGGATTTTGATTTCCTTTAAAAAAGAGTTGATTTTCTGTTCTTTTGCAAGCTTTGCTGAGAGGGTTTTGTAGGGTTCTTCTTTCCTAATCTCGGAATAGAGCCAAGCCCCTAATTTTCTATGCTAGAGGGGTAAATTCGCAAGAAATTGAAAGTACGAGGTATATTTTCAAAATTTAACCATGTTTAACACTCAGATCATAAAATTACTACAAAAATGGAAAAATAAAAATTGAAAAAAAAACTGAAAATGATGGAATTGCAATTAAATGATTGTTGTCTAATATGGGAAAAGTTGATTTATTAATTTTATTTTTTATTGATATCTTTTAAAATTAAATTAAAGTACTTTATTAATAAAATATTAAATCAAAGTAAATATTAGAAAATTTGAGCTTAAAGTACTGTGAGAAAAAAATTATATGAAATAATTTTATCACGTCAACATATAATTTTTCTATTTAAAAGATGTAATGTAATTTTTTTTAAAATAAAGAATTTATTACAAGAAAAAGATTTATTTATGCAATTAACTAATAATTTTTTTACAATAAATAGTTACCATTTATTGAAAATTAATATATATAATGAACTTTATGGATTTTAATAATAAATTATATATATATAAATAAAATTAACCTAGCAAAAATATAAGCTGAAAATATCAAACTTCAATTCCATTACATCCACATCTTGTAAGATGCACACATAGATATTTAGTACAGTTAAGTTAACATAGGTGGTTCCGGCGGCGGTGGCGGCATAAATACTGGCCCGGCTAATGGTGGTGGTGGTGGTGGCGGTGGCGGTGGAGATGGTGGAACCTTGCGAGGCTCGGGTCTGAAACCATGACGACGACCTTCCATAGGAGGCGGTGGACTTTTGATTGGTTCTTTCTTTTTCGAAACATTGTTAAACTGTTTCCAACGAATCGCTTCCGAGGAAGAACCCAAAACAGCTGCTTCTCCGCCGGCCTGGATTCTCCGGCAGCCATGAGATAGTAGGACGAAACCGAAGATGATCGGCAACCACAAAGCCGCCACCAAAGACTTGACAAAATTCATTTGCTGGTTTATTCACACAATTATGCTTAAAAGTCAAGGGCAACGTAATAATATAGTCGCTATCGACACGTTAATATATCAATCCTTAAACTTTACAATTATTTCCTTATTGGTCCTTGAACTTTTTTCCACATTAGTTCATAACCCTGACAACTCCATTTTTAGTCCATTAAAATCAAAATGACTCAAAATTTATGTCTAGGATTAACGTAAGTTAAAAAAGTTTTAAAGACCAAATTGAGAGAAATTGCCAAATTTAGAGGCTGAAAGTCAATTTCCCCTAATTTTAGAAGATTGAGTAATTAATAATTAATTAAAATTTATAATATCGAGACTTTCAATATAAAAAATCAATTATAATCAAAATATTATAATTACACATTAATATTAAATTCAAATAATAATTACGAGAATTCAAACTCAAATCTTTCTACAATATTAAGAAAAAGAAAACATTTCAACTAAACAAAGGACTAAGATTGTCAAAGGCCCCATCACCTTGCTCCATGCTGTGGCATATTATAGGCTCCATTTCGACCACGGTGAGGGCATCCGATACCACCCTAACCGATATCGAGTAACGTTCTATTCAGTAGCACAGCGAGAGACTCGTATATCATCGGATGTCAGTTTACAAGTAGACCTTCCCACCGTACTCCAAACGGAGCCTAACGTGCCGACCTGTACATGCATATCATATTACACTCTGGTTAAAGGTGGAAGGGACCATGGAGTTGTACATCAATTACGTCTTCGTAAGGAAAAAAAAGTCGGTGACTTAAATATCTATAACGAAACCGTGTTTCGTTCGCAAATCATGTCTATCCGGCGAGCTGATCGTAGACCCCGTTCTGCAGAGATTGACCTGTTTTTCCTGTAATAGCTATTTACTTTCAGCATTTCTTGATGTGAGAGTGCATGCATGTATGTGTGTGTGTGAACGTACACAAGATTCTAACCAGTTAATTCAAACCCGGTTTTATCATCTAGGGAAATCCTCCAATCTGTGGACCGAGGTGCCATATGCATGCCTCGCAGTTGCATCACGAAATGACTTCCTCCAAAACTTTGATGATCGTCATTTCCCGCGATTGGGTTTCTTCCTGAAGTTTCAAAAGCCGAGCGAAAGGCAACATTGGATATTGAAGTCCCTCCAACCGTAGATGGCAACTTGCTGCCGGAGGCGTCACCTTTTGCCCCAGCACTAACTTCCTTCTTGTTGTCTATCGTAAATGTACCGACAATAACCTGTACAGCAATAAATCGAGCATTTGGCTTAATGATAGATACAAGTTCTACAGAAATTCGTTCCAATCCCCTTCCCTGAATCAAAATAATTATAGTACAAATACCTGAACCGGGCCTGCAGCCTTTAGATGTCCACCAACTCCGCCACCAATAATCTGGCCATCTGCACTTGATAGACATACACTGAGTCCACCAGTCCTCCCTCCTATTTCATTCCGAACATAAGATCCTGATAATGAAATGATCTCAAACCGACCCTAATACCATATCAACGAGAAAACAAATCATATTTTGACAGTACAAATTAGCATATTTTAAGCAGATGAAATGCAAATTAACCGAAACAGTAAAAATAAAAAGCTAATATCAAGGCAAGCATACGAGACTTTTTAGGAATATGGGCATGGCAATTGCATCATAAACATCGGAACTATCTTGTTCGATATAAAATAATTACAACAAAACGAGAAAAGAAGCAATTACCTCATATGCAATGTTACCGCCGGATGTTGCCGGTTGGTGAAGAGATGCATTCGAGATTGTACCAGATGCGGACAAAATACATACTTCGCGCTTGCTTTGGTTCATGAACATCAGTATTTTTTGGCCCACGTCCTATTTGGATCAATATATCACGTCAAGAAGGCGAGGAAACAATTCAATTAACATATAGAAACAATACTAAAAGAATCAAGATTGTTGTAAATCAAATTCGTAAATATCAACATTAAAAAAGTAGCCTCACGTCATTGTTTATCGGCTACTACAGCACTGCTATTCTGACTTTGAACCATACTATTATCTACAAATATCACATAATCAATATGACATCTTATTTAACCGAATCATGCTTAGAAGTCCAACCATGCCAATTTTTTAAGGAAGTCAACGATGTAGAAGTTACATTTTAACAGATCACAAAAGTTACAAGGAAACTGGTATGCATCGGATATGTATAACTAATGCCAACATGCATTCAAATCATTAACAAAAGTTTCGGTATGTAATGAATGCCATACCTCTCCAGAAACTACATCAACAACATGTGGAGTAAAACCTTGACCTGCATTGCCTGCATCAGTTAAAGGGTAAAAAGAGCGAGACTTTAAGTATCAAACTGCGACTGCAAGCCATATATAATCAAACAATGACTCAACTTACTTCAGAACCGAACATCATACAACCCCGTTAAACATGAAAGCGGCTATGAAACAGATAGATCATTTATATACATGATATCATGAATCAACCAAGCATCTGAATGCGTTGTATCTATCTATTCCTCCTTATTCTAACACTGTACTATGTATAAACATGTGAATGTGTTGTATCCTAGGTGAAAGTAAACCAGAGGACTTCGATAATGAATCAATACTGGAATGAACTAAGACATTAATATATTGATTAAGTTAACCCAAAATGCCACGACGACAATCACACGATTAGACTTATATCATATTCCCTCCTCCAAAGATTTTACAAAATCGTTTATGCAAAATACCACACATTGATTGAAGATCTAAGGTGAATCATAAACTAACCTTTAAAAAACTTTAAGAGGGGAAGGGGGTCATTTAAAAACAATCAAATAAGGACAATGAACCATAATAATAAGCATTTAAAAAACCTTCAGTTTTCAACAAAATTGCAACAAGCTCCTCAAGCATCTTCAAATTCACAAAAAAGATGCCAATATAGGAGACTAATAGGGAAAGAAAACACATTGAGCAACAAATGTGATGGTTCACGCTCAGTAAACTAAAACAGCCTTAATTTCAAGAAATTTGCAACAAGGCTTCTAGAAAGTTACAATTCAAGACTGGGTACCAAAAAAAGTTACAAAGGCAACATTTTCACAAGCAATCCATCACCCTACCAATTCCAACACTTTGCAACAAAAGCCATTTAAATTCTTTCAAAATGGGGTATCAAAAGTAGACTTACTTTTGCAAAAATACCCCCACAGAGCAATGCACCAAAAACCTTATCAATAACTAACAAATTCGCAACGAACCCCCCCCCCCAAAAGCCATCAAATTCACAGAAAAGGGTACCCAAAAGTAATAAACTTTTTATCAAAAACACCCACCTAATGCAACCAACTGAGACTTCTTCAAAGACCCACCACCGCCACCAAGACCCAACTGTTGTTGTTGTTGCTGTTGCTGCAGTTCTCTCCGCACCTTGGAGCTCAACGACGCCATCTTCTTAGCAGCCAGGGCCTGTTCCGGCGTTCCATACTTCCTAGGCCTCCCTCTCTTCCTCCTCGCCGGCTCCAACGCCGACGTAACCGACAGAGGCACGGAGTGAGGGTACACCATGTGGTGGGACCCTCCACCGTCGTTAGGTAGCAGAAGCCCATTGGTCGGTGACGGAGTTGTGGTGACAGTGTCAGAGTTGTTGCTGGTGAAGTAGTGTTGTTGTTGGGTTTCATTCAGTTCCATTTTTTGAGGTGTTGCAGATTTTTTTAATTTTTTATTGCGATAATTCTGGGATATTTTTTATGGATTTTTAATTTCGGGCACTTGAATCTGCACCGTTGGATTTAGATTTGGGGGCTGAATTGATTGACTTCTGACGTTTGACTGATGACAGATGTACTTATTAATTGGATTTTTTTATTTATATTTTTCTTTTTGGGGTATTTTGGGAACTGAAAATGTTTAGATTCCGAGAATCCTCTCGTTTGTTCACGAGCATAAAGAAATTCCCCTCCAAATAGACAATTTTGCCCCTTATCCAAATTTATCTAGATTCTAAACAAATATATAAGGAAAAAAAATACAAAATGGTATATGATATTTGTTTACTCAATTATATGGTATTGTTTTATTTAGTCCTCTTATTATTGAAAATTATAAAATTATCTCTTAATTATAGAATGTTTTTATAAAATGGTCACTCATTATTCATATATTTAAAATTCGTATTTTTCCTTTAAAAAATTAGCAGGTGTCTAACTCAGACATTAACTTGTTGATTGAGATATGATAAAATTTAGTCTCAAAATCATTTGAGCTGTATTTTATAGATCGACTTCCGTTTACATTATATTATCAAGTCAGCACTTGAAAGATTATACTATCGAGTCAGTGCCTGAAAACAACAACGATGCCCGTAGTCATTATTAAAATATGATTTTATTATTTCTTAGTCAACATGTAATTAAAAATATATATTTATATATGTGTACTGACCTCAAAAATATTTCTGGATCCGACACCATATATATATATATATATATACCCAATTATGTTTCCTCTGTTGTGTTTGTTTCCTGAGAATGTTTGCCAAGAAATGTGGAGTTTAATTAGAGATTTCTATCTTTCTCTCCGCTTATAGATTTAGAAGTAATCGTCGTTCAATCTCGGATCGGATGTCGATTATGTACCGCCGATCATGGATGGATCTAACATGAAGAAATATGTTTCGTTTGATGTGTTGGTTATCTATGCACTTTGAATCGCAAAGTACTTACTAGTGCTGGTCATTCTCGGTACGGTTCTTGTTTCGGAGAATCGAAATTGCCGGCATCAGTGGTTTTCCGAGCTAAAAGGTTCCCGTTGTCATCGCATTCCAATGCTCGACTTATTTCTAATGCAGTTTGAAGGGGGAGGGAACTCACCGATGTGCACATGGATGGCAACCCCAACTGTGGTGCAAAATCTAATGGTAATTCGAGAGTTTCGGAAGTCATCGAGACGAAGAACTATGAGGTCAAGGAATGCACCAAAGAGAACTCGACCATCCAGAATGGTATCGTGAATCAACATGTGTTGGATGTTATAAGAACAAGTTTTGGTACCGAGACATCCCTGATGAGAACAACGAAAAGACGGGAGGCCGGAAGTTTACCGACGATATGAAATCAAGCCCCGCCGCATCTAAATCCAGTGGTGCCGGACATATTAGTGTGCACAACACCTCGAAAGTTAGTTCAAATGGCAGAGCAAGCGTTAACTCTAGACCTTCAACTACACCAGATTTACCAGAAGTTCGAGGGAAAACATCGAGCTTTGGAGGCCGAGAGAAGCCAGTACGAGGCCAGGACCAAGGTACGCGGCATTTTCAATTATCTCTTCCGTCAAATTCGTGTTCGAAGCAGTCTGTTCGGAGAGCTATATCCGTGGCATCTATGAACATTTCGATAATCAACCAAAGTGGAACTCTTTGCTTTCTTACAGGAAGAACAAGAAGCGGCCCTTAAGGAGCTTAGAAAGAGCATGGCTGTCAAAACTAATCCGATACCGAGTTTCAACTAAAAACGACCTCCACCTACAGCAGAACCGAAGAAGGTATCCAGACCTTTTCTCCTTGTTTATGTTTAACGACATATAATGGATGAAAACTGGAACACAGACACACCATCATCGACTTAAGAAAGCCTTTTGTCGTGGCATATGAACTTTCGATGCCGAAAAACCAAATGATCAAACACATACCCGGCGTTAACCCTTTCAAGAAAACTGTTTGGTCGGTAATGGAACATTTCATTGTTGCTTTTTTATTTCATTTCAGCTGCCATCGACTCGACCAAAGTTTCCAAATCATAGTCGGAGAAAGAGTTGCAGCAATGCGGTACACTCGTCTCTAGACGAAAATGCAAAAACAAGCTGTCTGACTCATCGCCACAGTTTAGGTACCCATAGGACACGATCCACAATGGAAAATGAGGTGAAACATAAGGGTCAGATCATCAGAAAGAGGCTTCGGAGCTAGCAAGGCAAAAGATCGAGCTAAACCGGCAACAACAACAGCTAAAACTGCTCCGAAAACCACAAAGCAGAGTAATCCATACGAGATTGCGATGAAATAACTATATTTCCTTTTCAGTGGTTTGCATTGATATGAATTGTATGTTCATTCATGTAAATAAAATGTTAAAGTATGCTTTTAAGATCACAGAGGACACCCCCTCAAAATAAAGGAAAACGACAGCGACATTTTGGGGTCGAAAAATTTTCGGATCAGTTGGATCTGAAATGTTTAAAGATAACTAGATAAATCGAATGTAGAGAGGATCGAACAATCAAATGTGATAATGGATGAAACTGAACATATGCTTTGCATGGTGCCGAGGAGGCCGAACTCGGCTACTGCAATAAGCAGTTCCAACAGTTTAAAGCCTTAATGGTGTGAAGTCAATCCGAATTTTCCTATCAAACTCGGTTCATATCGGAAGTGACTTACCTCCATCAATTATCGGATACACCTCAATCCGATAATTCTGCAAAAAAGAGAAGACATGGGAATGGGACCAAACTCTTTTGACAGCTTAGGCCAAAACCATCCTCTTCACCATAGTTTCAAAACCTACATCACAATACAATCATTGTGAGTTTCGACAATTGACCTCGAAGTATTTTCCGTTCAATGTAGAATCCGAATCACAAGCTTCCTTAGTATTTTCTGAAAGAAGCAAAGTTAGATATCAAGCTTGGATTACCTACCAAACTTTAAATTAGTTTTCGAATAACTGGAATTTACCGAGCACAATAATTCCGACATATGTTACTCGGACGTGGGTGTAAGTGTTCCTAGGATAATCATTTCCCTTACTGATTCCTGGATATGCATTGGACATTGGTACTTCAAGAAAACGTAAGAGTTGAAGTAATATAGGTTCCAACAGATTCGTAAAATCAGCTTAAAAAACTACGAAAAAAAAAAAGAAATCGAAACAAATTAAACAAATTCATGTTGACTTTAGCTAGGGCATACTTGCAGCTAAGAACATACCGATAATGCTTCGAGGAGATTTGAACTCAGCTAGTCGATGATTCATCACCTGCAAAACCGATTCAAACTGCAGCTGGAAGAAGATTTCAACAACTATCCATTGAAGAAATTCAATTTGTATAACAAGCATCGAGAATCAAACTAATGTATCGAGGATATACAGCCGACTAAGAACGAAAAATGAAAACCGAATGTATCCGTTTTCAATCAAATAAACTGTGATTGATAAATAGAGTAGATAAACATCACCACTCGATATAAGTTTTTCGTTAGCACTTTCTGTCCTACTCATTCTTCCAAGCATACAAAACCAGTGAAAAGCCCAGATTTCGTGACATGGAATCTTGAAACAGCTGCGAGAAAGACCACTGCAACGTACTCGGATTAGGTATTGGTTGGCTAATCCACAACTTATCATCCATGGCGGGCAATGCCTTGAACATAAAAACAGCATTTCCGACCGATGTTCCAAAGAGCCAATTGTGGACATCCCAATAAACATCTACAGCCATTCCATCAACCAAAATGGTACAGTTCCCTCGGAATTTCCACCGTAGCCGCTTCACTTGCATCAAAGTCTTTCCATCAACGCGAATCATAAGGCACGGATCATTGACACCGATCGTGTCGCATACAATCATCAGATCATGAATTCGACCGTTATTGCAGAACCGCGCCTTAGTACCGAATACCCTCTTGCCGAAAACATGTTCCTTTTTGGCCACGAAAAGGGCATCAGAAGGAGAAGGACTCGCACTAGTCTTCTTGTAAGCTTCTTTCCTCATGTCTCCAAGAAGCAATATCATTTGCATATCGGCAACAACACCGACATAAAACCCTTCCGTTGGTTCCGGTCCAGAACCGAATTTCGCCACCGAAAGGTCCCAATAAACATCGATTTTACACGAATTCGCTTCTAACCTCTTGGACCCTTTTCTCTTAGAGAACAACCAAGGCTTTATATCAACTTTACAAAGGCACTGATTTGCAGAAGAATCATCAACACCAACACTCAAGCCTTGCCCCATTAAACTCTTGCTCCAAGTAACAGTTAACGAACAAGATCTACCTCGAATTCGACATTGATAAACACAGGTAACTAAATTCTGTGCATTTTTACTAGCATTTGATGATGATGATGATGAATCAGCTACTTGAACACCATTTTCACCAAAACATGATGGAAAATCCCTCATTTTTCTGCAAAATTATCTGTTTTGCAGCCTAAAAACAAACCCAGGAAACTAAAAACTAAGACTTTGAAACATAAAAAAACAATAGAAAAACAAGCTAAACAAATCTCTTACCTAAAACTGATATGTTTCGAAAACTGTTTTAAAAAAAGGTTGTCTTCTTCTCAAAGCTTACTTGAAAACTGCTTGATTTTGATCTGGGGTGGTGCATTTTCTTTTCTTTCTTTTTTTTTTCTGCAAGAAACTCAAATATCCATCAATGGAAAATCTTGAAACCTTCAACAAGGAAATAAGTTGACAAAAAAAAACAGGGTTCCTTCACTGCAAATTCCTCTGCTATATACTGTTATCATTATCAATCATACAGATGTACATTACAAATTCTTTTGAAAAAAAAAACAGAACTTTACCTCCAGACAATGACAGCTTCATAAAAAAATATTATTGAGAGAGAAAAAAAAAAGGAAATTTGAAGGATTTTAGAAAATGGGTATTGCTGGAAAAGGCTGGATTTTGAGGATTGCCATTCAATGACAAAAGAAAGTAAAACCAAAACGAAATTTGAAAAATAATCTCTCTTATAGGCTTAGCCACTCTCTTTCTCTCCTAACTTTCCCTTGGCTGACATGCTCACATGCTCTAGTGAAAGCCAAAATATATGCAAACAAATTTATGGGATTTTGGGTATTTTTTAGTTTTTAATTTTAATAATTTAATAAATTTTATGAATTAATTACATTATACATCACTCAATTATGATATTTATTTTAATTTAATTTTTAAAATTTTGAATATTTTAGTTTTATTCTTGAATTATGATTTTCATTCTAAATTAATCTTAAATTTTTTAATATTTTGAATTTATATCAAACTATAGGTACATGAAAATCACGTCCTATGTTAATAAAATTATTATGTCAAACTATATTATTATTATATGTTTAAAAAATTAAGTTTAAATTACAGTTGAAGCTAATTATATATTTGGATAAATATAGAGATAAAATTAAAAGGTTTAAAAGTTTAGAGACTAATTTAGAAAGAGATTTATAATTTGGATATGAAATTGAAACGTTAAAAAATTTAAGAACATATTATATTATTTAAGTTTTTCTCTCCTAATTATCTCTCATCGGTGAGCTGTTCTTTTTTTTTGTCTTTAATAATCACCGACGACACCAATTTTAATATTAGTTATTGATTGTTGATATTCTTTATTGTTCTTTTATTTTCTCTTATTTTTTAATTTTAATAAATATGCATGTATGGTATGTTTTCTTATACTTTTTGAAACGTTTTTCGATCATTTAGTAATTGTTTTCACTTATCTTTTTATAAGGGTTAATTAGACATCGCCACGACTGATCAAGATGGTGTTTATTTGTTATATTGTTGATATTCCCTGCTTTGGACCATCAGATTGGATTTGGATACTCATTATGCGTTCGTGGATAGCATTCCTCATCGCTCAAGTATGATTTACGGTTTGTCGATAGTCTTTCAGTAGCTTGATCTCCTTTTGTGGTTCATTTTCCAATTGATCAGATATGTTTGTATCTATCTTTGTTCGAGTTTCCTTGGTTAGATTTTAATCTTTCTTTGTATGATCCTTATGTGATATTAAATTATTAGTTTTGTTTCAATAATAGGAAATTGTACTGATTATGTGTTTAATTTACGATTACGATTGTAAATCTTTGTTGTAATTCAAAATATTTCTTATTTTGAATAAAATTAATGATTTCTTTCAAAAAAATAATAAATAAAAAAAAAGTTATATTGTACGGATAAAATTCAAATGTTAAAATATTTAAAAACTAATTTAAAATAAAAATTATAATTTAAAAATATGTGATAAAATTAAATTTTTTTCTTATCATAAATATCTGAATTTAAATTTGTATATATCTTAATGACGTGTCAGGATAAAATATTAAGAAAAAACCCAAATTTTATTTAAGAATTAACTTAATAGTTTTATTAATTTCGGGGTGATTTTCCCGATATATCACCGGTGAATAGTATATTTCTCGATCTAACACCGGTTAGATCATATTTCCCGATCTAACACCCTTAGTAGTAAAGCGCGCCCCCTGCACCGTGCTATATGATGATTTGGTGCCACGTGGGGTATAGTGCGCCCCCTGCACCGCGCTATACGGTTATCTGGCATACACGTTGGTATAGCGCGGCCCCTGTAATGCGATATACGCCACGTAGGGGTATAGCGTGGGGCAGGTACCACGACATACCTTTACTCCTGACATAATTTTATATAGCGCGGGGCAGGTACCGCGTTTTGTATAACTTTCCTCGCTATAAATACTATTCTCCACCGGTTAAGTTTCTCAAATCTATCCTCTCAACTTATAAATTAATACAACAATTCCGTCAACGAGTCAATAATTCTGACAATCTTCTCATATTTTATTTAGAAGTTCGTGCGATTTTTCGTTATAAGGTAATTTTGTTATATTTTTTTATTATATTTATTGTTTATTATGATTATTTGAAAAAAACATTATACTAATTATTTTCAATTAATTTTTGTGTTTGTAAAATTGGAAAGCGGGAGCATACGTCGAAATAGTTTTGCGGTGCAGGTAATAATATTAAATTATATTATTTAATTTATTTACGTTGATGTGTAAAAAATTTATTGTGTTATTTGTTCGTTCATACATAATTTATTAAATCAGGTTTGTTTAATTTATTTTTTACAGATATAATAGTGCCGCACTTTTAAACTCAAATAATGGCGCGACTTTCAGCTATTGTTTATTATGATGGTGAAATTCGAGAATATGAAACCGGCGTTGTTTTCGTATCAAATGAGCGTGTTAAAATATCATTCAAGAGAAACATAACTCTTGAGGAGCTGATAACGAAGATTTCGAGGAAGATTTATGTTGGAAGTAGTAGAAGAGTGTCATCGTTGCAATATAGATTTCCAACATCATTGTTGCCATTAACTTATACAGCGTTCGAACTTTCAAACAATGATGATGTTGAAATGATGGTTGAAGCTCAAAGTAATTATTCAGACTCCGCTATTGAGATGTATGCACATTTTGTTCAAGTGCGTGCTGTTCGGGGTCAATCATTAAGCTCCCACTATGGGCTGACTGAACAAGTTGATCAAGTTGACAGCCCAACGATAGTAATGTGTATTGATTTTAATGCCATAATGGGGAGATATTCATCCGCAACTTTTTACGATATGTACCGAGGTAGGTCGACGAACAATCCGTATGACAACATCGCATCCAGTTCAAGGGGAAGGCATTCATCTACAAATCCCTTTGACCTTAATATGGAGATGCCATCGACGCAACCATCTGTGCAGTTTCCATTTGACGCGATGGCTTCAAGCTCTAGGGGGAGGCATTCGACTGTGAGCTTTTTCGATCTCAATGTCGATATGCCTTCCATTTCAAGGGGAAGGCGTGCAAGTAGTAGGTTCTACGACCTAAATGTGGAGAGCATGGAGGAATCATCATCTCCACCATAAGAACCGCTTCGTGAGCCTGGTGTGGATGGTGCTGAGACTGGACTATTCATTCACCCAGAATCACCGCAATTCAACTCCGATGATGATGAAGTTCCAAGAAATGTGGCACAAACTGACCCTTCTGCACACATGTATGAAGCTGATTATGGTGCAATGTACGGGCCAGAATTTACGGATATGTCTCATCTAGGTGACTATGGGTATTACTCATCAATAAATAATGGTGAGTTATCTTTAGGCATGGAGTTTTCAAGCAAAGAAGAAGCGATGATGGCTATAAAAAATTACAATATCCGTAATTATGTTCAGTCCAGAGTAGACCACTCCACAACCGAAAAATATGTATGTTATTGTGTCCAGCGTGAAAACGGATGCAATTGGATGGTTCGCGTATCAAAGAGGAAGAGGAAAAACAATATATGGGAACTAACAGTATACAACGGTCCTCACACATGTTGTGCTGGAGGGGTCAACCAAGATCATCCTAACTTAGACTCTGAAGTGATATGTCAAGCCATCATGCCCATGGTTAAAGTAAGCTCTCATATAGCTGTTGCAGTGATGATTTCAGCTATACAATCGCAGTATGGGTACATTGTCTCCTATAAAAAAGCTTGGTTGGCAAAACAAAATGCCATTGTCAAACTTCATGGCGAATGGGATACATCTTACAACGAACTTCTAGGTTGGTTTAGGCTGGTGCGGACGTTGAATCCTGGGACAATTGTGGACTTCGAAACCTCCTATGCATACCATAATGATCGAGTTCTTCGCGATCGATGTCAATTCTACCGGTTTTTTTGGAGTTACCCACAGTGCGTTAATGCTGTCAAATACTGCAAGCATGTGGTCCAGATCGACGGGACTTTCTTGTATGGAAAATACAAGCAAGTTTTATTATTGGCAATTGTCCAAGATGGCAATTGCAATATTCTTTCAGTTGCTTTTGCTCTTGTCGAATGAGAATATACCGCTTCTTGGGCTTTTTTCCTCCGAAATTTACGGGCACATGTTATCACGAGGGAAAACATATGTGTCATTTCAGATCGCGGAGCTGGGATCAAAGAAGCAATAGAGTCTTTGGGTCCAATGTGGCAATCACCCTTTGTCCAACATAGGTATTGTCTTCGACACATTGCCGCGAACTACCATGGAAGGTACAAGAAGAATAATGAGCGTCAATTAATTGTGCGCATGGGTAAGTGAAACTTAGCAAGTTTATTTTCTTTCGATCGTTTTAATTTTGCAAAGACAGCAAGTTAGTAAGTTATACATTTTTTTATCAGGTTACGAACTACTTCCTCGAACGTTTGAATCAATGTTTCAAGAGTTGCGGGCGAAGAACGAGGAAGGATATGATTACATCAGCCTCATCGATAAAGAAATGTGGACGAACGCATATGATGGTGGATATTGATATGGACACATGACGACCAACTTGGCAGAGGTAATCAATTCAACCTTAAAGGGTGCACGTCACTTACCAGTAGCGTCTTTGGTAAAGACTTCATATTTTCGTTTGGAGGCGCTTTTTGTGAAGCTCGGGGGATAAGCTCAAACCTGAATGCAAGGCGGTCATGTCTATCACCCTAGATTAGTTGCAGATCTACAGAAAAAAATTGCTGCATCAAATGGAATGTCTGTAATAAGCTTCTCTATAAGGCATGAAATGTTAGAGTTGCTGTGACCTCTTCAAGGGATTGAAGCTGTGTCGTTAAGAG